AATGTCCCACTTTTCCTTAGGATGTCCCTATTTTCCTTGGAGAAACGTTGGAGGGTATGGAGTTATCCAACCCCCGAGCCGTCTGAAGGCAATCCTGTATTGGGAACTTTTGTTTTAACATTTTATTATGTTTTTATATATGTTGAAAGTTGCCCAAAGTGGCTGGGACAACCCAGTAAGATGTGTGGTGTATAAATACTCAAATTATCATTATGGAAAGGGGCTTCCCTATTTTCACTGGAGAGAGGTAGGAGGGGATGGAGTTATCTGACCCCAATCCATCTGTAGGCAATCCTGTATAGGGAAGGGGTTTTTAAAACAAATGTTTAATGTTTTATGATGTTTTCCTTACGTGTTGCAAGCTGCCCAAAGTAGCTAGAGCTGCCCAGCCAGACGTGTGGGATAGAAAGTGTAAAATCATCATTATGGAATGGGACGCTCCTGTTTTCACCAGAGAAAGGTTGGTGGGTATGAAAGAATCCATTAAAAGTTTAGAAAATCAAATATCACTTAAAATGGCCGCCGGGATAATTTAGCATTTTGCTAAAGGAGGGGCGGGTCTCTCTTAGCAGGCAGTTTTGATTCCTCTCTTTTGGCCTCCTGCCAGTGTAGTCCAAGTTGCACTGACAAAGGAACGAAGGCTGCTTATAGCCAACCAAAAGGCAGGCAGCAGGAATGAGCCATGTTGTTTCTAACCTGGGCAGCAAATTCTCCCAATGCGGTAGGCAGCCATCTTGCTGCAGCCAGGACTCTTTGCAAGCCTAATGCATCTTGCTTTTTTGTTCTGTTTTGAGACTTACCATTGTTAGAGGGAAGCAAAATGTGGGCTGTGAATCTTAGGGGACAGGGTGAGTATTGTCCTGGCCAGGTTTGGGCCCTAGACTTTGTGTGTGTTTAAATATTTTCTTTGAATATGTCGGGGGGGGGGAATAATGGGTGCATGCCCTGTTTGGTTTCTGCCAGCTTAGCCCCACAAGCTGTGGGTGCCATGCAGCGTGCATTGGCCCTGGCACCAAAATTTGTGGGTGCCCTTTATGGGGAATTTTGTGGGTGCTCGGGCACCTAGGGCCCCCAAGGAGCTGGGACTTAGGCAACAGGCAGAAGCAAAGCTGTCAACTTTTCCCTTTTCTTGTGCAGAATCCTATTTGGAATAAGGGAATTTCCCTTTAAAAAAGGGAAACGTTGACAGCTATGGGCAGAAGGGTGGGGGTGCAATTTCGTGGAAGGGTTGTGGTATTTTACACTGCAATCCTAAGCGTGCCTACTCAGAAGTAATTCCTATTGTGTTCAGTGAAGCTGACTCGCAGGTAAATGGGGTTAGAATTGCAGCCTTCATTGTGAAAAGCAGATGGCGTTGAGGGGAAATCAGGACTGGGTTTTGAAAAGAGGGGTGGGGGGGAATCTTATGCCTGGTCAAAACTTAGTTCAACCCTTCCTCTTATCCTCGCTTCATTTGTATGCTGCTTTTCCAGAGCTCAAACCATGCTCAAGGTGGCTTGCAAGAGGAAATGATTTACACAATCGCAAACATAACAAAAGTAGTCCTAAACAAAACACATTGAAAAATGTGTTTGAAATGATTTCCACATTTAAAAATACAGATACAAAAAATTAATAATAACGGCAACCAGTGTGAATTTGATTTAAATCAATCAATTTAAATCACTAGTCAGTAAGACTTGATTTTTATTTTATTTTTATTTTTTTTACAGAGACTCCGTCTTGCTGGTATAATCTTAATATTTACAAGCAGAGGAAGGTATTGTTTTTGGAATAATAACTTTTCAAAGTAGTTTTTACAGTTATATCAAAAATTACTTATTTGGTTATACTATTAGAATTACATAGACAGATAATTATGAAATTATTGTGAGGTTTAATAAGTTAACTCTTTATATTTGGACAACTTTTCTGCTGTACTTTATTGGAAGGAGAAAAATAATCATTTCCTTAATAACAATTTAAAGAACATATTTAACTAAAACAGTAACGTAATAGCATATGCATCCATGTTTGTTAACTAGTGTTGCTAATTTTTATAAAACACAAACAAAACTTAGACTTGAGTTTTAGCACAAATAAAAAACGTAAAACAAATCTTTATTTCCTGATGAATAGCCTTTGGACTATAATGTAACTTAAATAGAAAACTATCTTTAGAAAGATTTTTCCTCCAGAAGCATTTTATTTTAAAAATCTGATTTAAATAAAATAAAAAATCTGATTTAAATAAAATAAAAATTGATTTTTTAAAAATAAAAGTCACTGACTTTTATCCACCCTGACATCAACAAAAAACCCTAAACAATAGCTCTTCTCCCTTGCTTTTGTTTGTACACCTAGGATGTCTGTTTGAAGAGTATTTGCTTATTACTGGAAGAAAATAGCTATAAACCGAATTCTTAAGAGTTGTGTGAGGGCTGATTGGAGTGAGGCAGCTGTAATGAAAAAGGTGTATTGCAAACACTTGTTGGCTCTCTTCCTGCATCAAATCTCAGTTTCCACAAGCTTTCCTTACAACAACAGCTGTAGCAACGCTCAAGCTTTTGGTTAGGCAATTATGGCAGTTAGAAAAAAGTTTGTAAGAAATTTAGGCATTGATGGGAAGGCATGAGAAGGACAAACTCCATTTAGCTGACTTGAAACTGACCCTCAGTTAAGGGGGTGCCTTAATGCACTTGCACTGATTTTCTGCATCTTCAAAATTCCCGACATTTTGTCCAGTATTTCTCAGCATGTCTGTATTCCAGGCCATCTGTAAACTTTGCTTCAACAACACAGGAAAGGCTGTAAGTCTCATTGAACTTCTGAATAGACATATATGTAATTGTGTTATAAAAGGCGTTGGGAATCTGGATCACTTTTTTATTTGGGGGGGTTGGGAAATTCCACAACTTTGGGGTTTCAACAATTTCGGTGGTTTCCTGGATTTTACTTTTTGAAATATGGCAACTCTGCACTTACCGGTAGTTGAATACAGTAGTCTTAACTGTGAGGGCAGCAGGTATGTTGTGTTGTGGTGCTGTGCGCCCCGGAGACAGTTAGTCTGCAGCAGTTTAGTCTGTGTAAAACGTACTAGCAAATTGAAAATCCCCTGTGGTCTAAACCACTGAGCCTCTTGGGCTTGCCGATCAGAAGGTCGGCGGTTTGAATCCCTGCGACAGAGTGAGCTCCTGTTGTTCGGTCCCACTGTAACTTAAGTTCCTCAACGCGTCTGTTTCCCATTGACATTTCTTCCCTTGGCATGCTTTTCAAAATTCCTAGTGGCTTGGCACCCTAGGCTTAGGTATGAGATTGACACCAACCCTGGAGGTAAAGGGACCCCTGGCCATTAGGTCCATTCATGGACGACTCTGGGGTTGTGGCGCTCATCTCGCTCTACAGGCCGAGGGAGCCGGCGTACAGCTTCCAGGTCATGTGGCCAGCATGACTAAGCCGCTTCTGGCAAACCAGAGCAGCACACGCAAACGCCGTTTACCTTCCTGCCGGAGCGGTACCTATTTATCTACTTGCACTTTGATGTGCTTTCGAACTGCTAGGTTGGCAGGAGCAGGGACCGAACAACGGGAGCTCACCCCGTCGCGGGGATTCGAACCTCCGACCTTCTGATCGGCAAGCCCAAGAGGCTCAGTGGTTTAGACCAGAGCGCCATAACCAGGATTGTTTATGAAAGGGATATTTTGTACATAAGGGAATACTCATATTTACCTTGAGTGCTATGTGAAATTCAATGTATTTTTCAAAATGTTTTTTAAAAAAGCATTTTCACAGCATTTTTTATGTGTATGTAGATTCTGCCTAAATGGATTTTACTTCAGGACAATTTTTCCAAATCTCTGCCCCGGCCAAATTTAGTCCCACCCAGTTTTAAGTACTAGCTGCAATTCATTTCTGACCCGAAAGCTCCACCAGCTGTATTTCTGACTGATCGTAACCCCCGCCCCCCTGCTTTTCTGACCTCTTTTTCCAGTATGGCCTCACATAGGGCAGCTTCTTGGCATAAACCAACTCCCCTTTTCTGACTTTACTAAATTTACTCCACCCAAGCCATGTCCAGAAATATTAAAACCAATGTTTATTTTATTACAGTTATTCTTTATTTAATTTGTATACAGTACTGCCCTTCATTCAAATATCTCAAGGTGGTTTGTGGCATAAATACAAGATAAATGCACAAAATACGTAATGGTTTCTTTCTCCTTCAGACCCTGGACTCAGCTTAAAGGTAAAGGGACCGCGACCATTAGGTCCAGTCGTGGTCGACTCTTATCCACCTTCAAATAAAAGGTGATGTAAAGTGCAGTGTACAAATGTGACAGTAGATGGCGATGGTGAGCTATGGCAAATTCAATGTATTCCCCCCCCCCCGAAAAAAAAAACCTAAAAAAACACACAATTTCACAACGTTGTGTTTTTTTTAATATGTGTGTAGATTCCACCCAGTCGCCAGAGCTCATTGTTGAGGAAGGTTGCGAAAGTCACTGCGACATGTGCTCCATTGTGACACGTCCCCTTGCTGGGTGACTTGCCAGACATCTTGGGCAAGAGGGGAATAAGGTGAGAGAGTTATTGAGTTAGTGAGCCATTTTCTTAGGGGGTTACTTTGTCAGTCAGAGTTAAAGCGTTAGGCAGTTGTTGTGTTGGTAAGAGAGGGAGGGGAAGAGATGCAGAAAGCCACTGTGATTCTGCCACTATCCATGAAGATTTAGCACCACAGAGGACATTCCCTCTCCAGTCATGGGTTGGTTTTGTTTTATTATGTATGGTGTGTTTTTATATTTTATATGGTGGTTTTATGTTGTGAATCATCCTGAGACCTGCGGGTATAGGGCAACATATTCTTATTATTATTATCATCAAAAGATTAGCCTTGTAAAGCTTATTATTATGCTTCAAGCAAAGTGCCTCATCTTTGCAGTTCAAAGCAAGTTGTCTCCCAAGTTTCCAGGGCCTTTTGAGAAAGATGTTCTTGGTGTAAAGTCCTTCTGCTGGCCTGGAAGATGGAGGAGCGGAAAATCCTCGTGTTTTTTCGAGCAACCCGGTGTTCTGAGGACGGATGGGACTCACTCTTATTCTTCAGGTGAGCAAACGATCCGTACTGGCAGGGAATTGTTCTGAGGGCAGTGAGAACCTGGCTAATGGGTTAAGAAGGAAGTTGATCTCTCCTTTGAGGAGACTTCCATGATACCTCTTTCAAAGAAGGGAGACAATCATTTCTCTCTTTTTTTACTTCTGCCCTTTCCCGTTGTTTCATCGACAGGGACTTTCCATTGTGGACCCGCTCGCAGTGAACCCCTGCTCTCTGGGAGCAAGAAGGACAATGTTCCGAGATTTTAAAAAACTGGCCACAACTTTATTGATTCCTGGTGTAGGTTGGACAGGATGCAGCTTAAAGAGTTGGCGAGGATAAAGAGTTGGCAAGCTTTCCTCAGTTGCCAGCCTAGGAGTTCCCCAACAACTGACTGCCTAACCCCAGGCGTTGCTCCTAGGGGGCAAAGGTGTTTGGAGCTACGGTCTGCAACAGCCGCTCACCCTGTGACTGGTTGAGGAGCCAATACGCCTTTTTTTCCGACGGACCCGAGAACAAGTCAGCCCTCAAAGGCTGATGGAGAAAAGGTATTGCTCCTACCTTCCTCGCTGCTTTTGAAGTGGAAGTCCAACACTGAGCATCAGTGTGGCACCTTTGGGCTCACCTGTACCTGCAGAGGCCTTTTCTGACACCCACAGGGACCTTTCTCCAATCCTCCAGCCTAAATTAGGCTCAAAACCAGCATTCCGACAAAACCAGCACGCTCCAACTGCCTGTCAATCATTCTGTCTCCAAACGAGACTCCATCACAATTCCTCTGCTGTCCAGCATTCTGCTCCTCTCTCTTTTTTTTAAAAAAAATATTTTTATTAAGTACAAATTAGAAAACATACATATTCACAACAAAAGAAAATACAAAAGAAAAAGAAAATACATCTAACCAAGGAAAAAAATTAGAGAATATTTTGTCTCTTTTCATATTTACAGTTATTTATACCTCTATAAAATGCTATTCACAATAAAGCAGTGAAATGAAAGATAAGATATCAGAAAAAAGAAAAAAAGAACAAAGAAAGAATAAAGAAGTAAAAGAAAAAGATCATAAGTGAAAAATTTTCAAAGTAGATAAGTACTCACAATACATAACAGTTTCCCATCTATATTTATATTCAATTGTATAATTTCATCTTGTCCTTATCTACCTTAAATAGTGGTTTTTTTAAAAAAAAACTTCCACCGTTTACCTCACGCGTTTTTAATAATCCATTCGTCAGAACCTCTGTTCTTCATATTTTCCCTTTGGATTACCTTAATGTCTCCCTTTGTATTTTTTATATTACGCACAAGATTATTCTAAACACAACCAGATTTTTGTAGTTGAGCCCTGGTTTTGTAAATAATCATTTAAGAACTCCCATTGCTTCATAACCATAGTTTTGGACTTTCTCCTTATTATAGCCGTCAGTTTTGCTAATTCCAGGTACTCGCAAAGTTTTCCCAACCATTCTCTTTTTGTTGGGATGCTGTCTTCTTTCCAATAGCTAGCAATCAAAATTCTTGCCGCTGTTGTCGCGTATAGAAATAAGTTAGTTTTATCTTTTGGGATATCTTTATCTAGAATTCCTAATAGATATGCCTCTGCCTTTTTTGTGTGTGATGTCCTTATCAATTTTTTTATTTTGTCGTGGATCATGTCCCAAAAGGTTTTAATCTTTGGGCAAGTCCATTCTGTTCCTCTTTAAAAAAAAAAAGATTGTGCTGAATGCTGCAAATACTTCCCTGTTCTTTATTTCATGGGAGGGAATATTCCCCTATGACACATCAATCAGTGGCCGGGCAGCATTTCCATAGGCTGCCTTTTAATATGTGATTTTTAAATATCGTGTGTTGTTTTTTAATCTGATTCTGAGCTGGTTCTCCCTCTCACAGGAACCGAGAAGTTATATTTCCATTGAAAACATGAATGGCAGGAATCAGGCAGCCAGCAGGACCTGTTCACTGCTGACAAAGGCAGCCAGACTCCTCAATCTGAAGGTACATCTCTCACATGTATTTATTAATTTGGAAAACAAAACGTTCCTCTTTCTAGCCCCAGGAGGCTCTCAACTAACGTGGTCCCAGGAAGATTCAGGTGGCATTTCCTATCCTCTTCCTTAATGCTGCCTTTCAACCCAATGCCTACTAGGTTGCAGGTCCCAGTGGTGTCCTCTGGGACAAGAGATTGGAGATAAGCATCTCACTCCACCTAAGTTGCAAGAAGGTCATCTCATGGCATCCTTACTTTGGCTTGCTTCTGCTTCTATGTTGTACCCATTATCTGGAGTGCATTTTTGGCAACGCAAAAGGCATGTGACTTTGCCTTTTCTCATCTCTACTGCAGGTCATTGTCTCTCCGGAGCTGTCTGACCCACACCATAGATTCAGAGGAGGTAACCTCCAAACCATAAAAGCAGAGAATGACCCAAGATGACTCACTTTCCATATTAAAGCCATCACCTGTAGCCACAACTTAGCTGCAACATGAGACGAGATATGAATCTCCAGGCTGAATCCAAGTGTTGTGTGGCAGCGATGGAGGGACCACAATTTGTTGATTTTGTTGTTCTTGTTAATAGTTACTGTTTTCAGAGTTTGTAGGGATGGTTTTTTAGGGCTTGTAGTTTTTCATATTCTATCACATTTTTCTCTTGTGGGAACACCCTTTGAGAGCTATTGAGCTGTGAATAATGAATTTGCAATAAATGAATGATGAATAAACCAATCTCTCATGGCTGATTGACTCTAGGAGTATAAGAGAAGGGATCTATCGCTGAGCCATGGTAAAGTCTGTGCTCCTAATGCCTCCAAGTTTACATGGGATCACTCTTTGCAACCCAGATACATCTTTAAGGTGAGTAGGCAGAAAGAAACTTGGATCAATATATGGAGAAATCCAAGTGTTCAGAGCCAGGGTGGAGCCAACCATGAAAGGTAGATAAGAGTCTTGATTGCTGTATTCCACCCTTTTACAGGAAAACACAAAAGGCAGTTTGCTAACGTTGATCAACAACGACAAATTCTTTCAGCATTTGCACCGACATATTTTGAACTCACTTTTTGCAGACTTCCTGCATTAGTCAGCCACCAACTCTCAGCCTAACCTTGCTCAAATGGCTGTCGTGAGGATATAGAATAGGACTGCCATATGTCTGGATTTTCCTGGACACTACCGGGATTCGGGCAGCAGAATGGCATCTGGGCAGACTTCTGCTGAATCGGCAAAATGTCCAGCAAAACCCCGGATGTATAGCGAGGGTGTGTCATTTTTTATTTTAAAATCCATAAAAAATAAAAAAGCCACCAAGCTTAATAATTTGACCCCCTACCCCAAATCAAATCATTGAAGGGGGTTGGATGAGATAACCCTTGTGGTCCTTTCCAGCTCTACAAGATAGTGATTCTGTGAAAATCAGTTTAGTTCCAAGGCATCAGCCAGTTTCAGTTGGGCTGATCATTGCATGTTTATTTAGATGCATAAGTACCACTTAGGTTCAGTTCAGCTTCCTCCCTAGTTTAGTGTGGACAGGGGGGAGTAATTGATTCCAAAAAGAAGTTATTTTAGGCCTGTAGCTACTAGGGTGGCGTTTAAAAAAGTTTTTAAAAATTAATCCAGATCCAGTCTTCATTACTAGGCAATTTGAAAATAAAATATTAAAATTGCAATTACATAAAATATTGTGGGGAGGTAGGAAATGCAAAAGTGAAAAGCTTTGGTTTTTTAAAGAAAGCATTAGTTTGAAAAGTGTTGGTTATAAACAGTTGCAGTATGTTGAAACATTGCTTGGTTCAGGATATGATTGGGGGCAAGGGTGGAGCATCTTATGTAAGCTTTTAGTCTGAGTTTATTGCTGAATCAACAGCTCTTACCCCTGGTCCTAGCTACAGCCTTCCTGGCTTGGGGAAATGGGCAGGGGCTCAAGGAACAGAGCCAAGCTGTTGGCAAACAAACAGTTAAATCTGCTCCCACTTCTTCCTTTTGAAAACTTTCTTGACTTGAAGTTTCCAGCACGCACACCTTAATATATTTTTGGCAAGGGTTTTTCTGTTCATCCTGTCTTATTGATGCCGTGATGTCATGTTTTAAGCTTGCTGCTGAAAGGATTCCATTCCCTCCAGAATTTCTCAGAGGAAAATAGGGACATCCTCTTCAACAACAATAATTAATACTTTTTATTATTTATACCCCACCCATCCGACTGGGTTGCCCCAACCACTCTGGGTAGTTTCCAACATATAAAAACGTAATTAAATATTTAAAAACTTCTCTACGTAGGGCTGCCTCCAGATGTCTTCTATAGGTTGTCTAGTTACTTATCTCCTTGGTTGGGGTGGGGTGGGGGTCGCATAACTCCATCCCCTCCAACATTTCTCAGATGAAAATAGGGACCTCCTACCATACCCTCCAGCATTTCTTCAACGAAAATAGGGACGTCCTAAGGAAAAGCGGGGCATTCTGGGATCAAATCAGAAATTGGGATGGCTTCTGTAAATCCAGGACTGTCCCTGGAAAATAGGGGCACTTGGAGGGTCTGGGATTCACTGAGACGGCTCTTGCGCTTTTATGTCAGTGGATATGTCACTTACTGATTTTTAGTGTTTGTATTCCACTAAACCATTTCAGTAGGTCATCGCTCAGAGAACATTGTTATAAAGCAAACATGCATATGATTAGTAACACCAAAACAGGTGTTATTATAGCATTTATTCTTTTAACCAGGCCAAAGACCAACATAACTCAGGGCCATTTGTAATCATCTTTTTTAAAAAGTTGGTTTTCCAACAAAATCTGAACTCTGCAAACTTTATATGGTATCCAAATCCAGCCACTTTACACAGCTTCCTCTGGTTTTGCTTAATGTTTTCGGCTGCGCTTGAAGTTTCCAAAATGTAATCACTGTAGAAAACATTAAGCAAAAAACCGAGAAATTGTGTAAAGTGTTTTGGACTTGCATAATATGCACATGTTGCAGAATTCCTTTTCTGCTTTCTCTAGTCATGGGGCAGGACATTTGGGTACAGAGAAAGCACTAAATCCTCTGAACAATAGGAATATTATTTGGCACGACTACTGGCTCCTGACATTTCATTAAGCAGAAGTGGAATGGTTTGAAGCTTTCTTTTCTTAAAAAAAGGAAACAACGAATCTTAGGATATGAAATCTGCAGATACTTTCCATACCTTACAAACACCTCTGTGAATTTTGAACATATACCCAGCTCCAAAAAACATACCTAATTTCCACATGTATCTTTGATTTGGTCCTTCTGCCAGTGTTACAAATTTGTCCTCTGTCAGCACGGGAATTTGTCCTGCTAAAATGAACTAAATTTGCTATGTGATGTTCATAGGAAGGAACAAAATTTGCCTGAGAGCACATATATTTTTCACCTTATACTTGCACAGGGCTGGGGGTTGGGGATGGTACGAATGGACAGTAAAATCCGCCAAAAGAATTCTTACACTATGTCAGGAAGCTAACCATGGTATGAATTATTAATGTATTTAAACTAGGGTTGCCATATTTCTAACACTGAAAATCCAGACAGAAAAATTGTTGAACTTTTTCAGCTATTTTTATGGGGAAACGGCAAAAACGGCACTGCCAACATAGGGGCTGCCATACCTCCAGATTTCCCCAGATGTATGGCAACCCTAATTTAAACCCCTACCCCCACTGCCTCATTTGCTATAGCAAGCTAATTGTTGAAACAAATTCTTTCTACACATTTCAATGACTTATATCCAATTTAAAAAGCATTAACTTTGCTTAATGAAGCTTGCGCAAGTTGTGTCTGAAAGGACGCATAATTCAGTGTTTTTTACCAGAAGAGGCAGAATGAAGCTTCTAACTGTCTCACACAAATGGTGATACATATGAATATTTGCACGCTAAGTAATTAGTCTAAAAGCTACTGCTTTGCAAAAGTACTCTGCCTGAAACAAACAAACAACAACAACGTACTCTGCTTGAAGAGCTGGTGTTCTTTTTATAAAAAAAAAAAAATAACATGCACCAGTGGGCAATATTTCAGTATTTTCTTGTTTGAAGCGTGCATTATATCAGACAATGTTAATGTATTCACAATGAATTCATTTACTGACCATTTGTACCATCCCCAGCAGCTGCCTTACACCTTGACCTGGACCTTAGGAAAGCCAATTGGAAAATCGCGACTTTTGGGCAACTTGGGGGTTTGTCTAAAATAAGCTCAGCAATTGGGAGGGGGGGTCCTTTAAAAAGCTCAATTTTCAGAGTGTCCATGTTTTTACTTTTTGAAATGTGGCAAACCTAGCCCCCTGGGAAAGTATGAGGTGTAAAATGTGTGTTGCCATGCAAATCTCGTTCCCCCTATGGCCACACCAATTTGTGCATCTTTAATTTTGCCAAGGTGGGGGGGCGGGATTCACTAAAATTCAAGGTCTGACTACCAATCCCATTTGCAGATGGGAAAGAATCCCATCCCCGACGTCCTGGTTAGATTAGCTAGTGACCCTTATGTGTTTTGCCTTATGTGTGTGGCTTGTTGGGTCATCTCTTTCGTCATCTTTGCGCAACGGTTTTCCTGGAATTCTAGGAGCAAGTGAAGATGTGGCAATACCACAATGGACGGAAGCAAGACATTCTGGCCTACTTAACATGAACAAGGTGCTCCTTTTAATTGGGCCCTCTGTGAGAACCACTATTTGTGCTTCCACAGCTAGTGTATATTTTCTTCTCCCTCTAAAAACAAAAAAATGAGTGGTACTGACTCCTCTTTTTACAAAAACGCAAAGAAATTGAACGTTTTGGAGCTATTTCTGAGGTAAATCAGCAAAAACGACATGGGCTGCCATACACCCTGATTTTCCTGGACGTTTCGCAGATTTCCGCTCAGACACTGCTTGTGGCTGCAGTATTCCGGGTATTTCCTGGACCCTAGAAAGGTCTTGAAAGTAACATTTACTTAAAAAAACCCAGAAGCTTTTTGACTAGGCTTAACAGGAGAAGAAATACCAAGAGACCTAAAAAGACTAGGTATGCGACATGAGTTTGACCAAACTGCGGGAGGCAGTGGAAGACAGAAGTGCCTGGCGTGCTCTGGTTCATGGGGTCATGAAGAGTCGGACACGACTAAACAACAACAACATGCGACAACAGCTGCAAGAATGTTGTTAGCCCAGATGTAGAAGGAAGAGAAGGTCCCAACAAAAGATGAGTGGATAACCAAAATGATGGACTGTGCCAAAATGGCAAAGATGACCATGAAGATCAGACACCAAGATGACAAAAAATAATAATCAAGAATGGGAAACATTTGTAGAATACCTTAAAAACCACTGTAGTTACTTAGAAACATTAGCAGGACTGATATAACATTTATGAAGTAAAATGAACTAAAGTAGTAAATAAGGAGATGAAATAGAATGGATAAATATAATTATATGCAAAAAAAGGGGGACACGTGGGGCGCTGTGGTCTAAACCCCAGACCCTGGGGCTTGCCGAATGGAAGGTCGGCAGTTCGAATCCCCACGACGTGGTGAGCTCCTGTTGTTTGGTCCCAGCTCCTGCCCACCTAGCAGTTCGAAAGCACATCAAGTGCAAGTAGATAAATAGGTACCACTCTGGCAGGAAGGTAAATGGCATTTCCGTGCGCTGCTCTGGTTTCGCCAGAAGCAGCTTAGTCATGCTGGCCACATGACCTGAAAAAACTCTGCAGACAAACGCTGGCTCCCTTGGTCTGGAAAGTGAGATGAGTGCCGCAACCCCAGAGTCGTCCGCAGCTGGACTTAACTATCAGGGGTACCTTTACTTTTATGCAAGAAAAGAGGGTAAAATATGGAAACCGGGGGGGGGGGATGGGGGAAGTCCGAGGGGTTTGTATAATCCCAGTACTGTATATATGAAAAATGTTTGGAGTGTATGGAAATAATGTTAATAAAAAACAACACCTGAAAACATTTTTTTAAAAAAGTCTTGAAAGACTCTGCTGTGTTCCAATAACATTGGTCTCCCAACAGGGCTGGAAACATACATTTTTTGAAATAGGGGAGAAAAGAAAAGGGGGGGTGTTTCAAAAGGGTAAAGAACCCTGAGGTTCTGAACTGTTTGCTTTTGCACTTGAGTTGCTCTCCTTGGGATAATAGCAGCCTCTCAAATCGTTACACACAGCTCACCGCCTGAGGTGGGCTGGGGAGAGATGGAGGAGAAAAACAGCAGAGCGTATGGCTTCAAGGCGAAGAAAAAGAATCCCAAGAAAGAGCGTATCGTTTATTTATTCTAGTTGTGTAGATGGAATTTAACATCCACAACAAAGGGGAAGCAATATAGCAAGTTAGCCAGAGAAAGCCCAATTACAAATCTAATGAAAAGCAAGCTACGAAAACCCTCTCTTGAAAGCTGAATTGCTTTAAATTGCTTTACCACATGCCCTCTTTCCCCCGGATCTTATCCAAGCTATGAAATCAAGATGAATATGCTCCAATCACCAGTTTCCCAACCCGAACTCCACAGAGCAATTTAACCTTTACCAATCTCCTGTAAACATCTGCCGACTTTAAGAGGATGATTAATTTTAAAAGCCGGCTATTGCCAACACGAAGATAGCTCTCTGAGTGTCAAGTAGAGATTAATATTTTAAAGGGGAAATAAATAAGTGGATAAGGAGAAAAAGAACCGTTTCTGGCAGGCGAAAGCTCCAAAGAATTTGTGACACCTAAGGAGTGTACACACAAATCTTGCTCTGGGATTGTTTTAGAAAGCAACCAAGTGTGTTCAGAATATAAGATGTCCTCACTGCCCCTTTTAAGAGATACTTCTTTCCGATCACAGAGAAGAATGTATATTATAATCATTGCAAAACTTCTAATTGAAAAACATTGCAAATAAGGGCCCCCATTCTGCAAACCAGTTGTCAATCATACGCATATAATCTGTCTGCGTCCCCAGTTCTGCCTTCTGTGAATAGAAAGGTCCTTTGCTTCTCTCAATGAAACATTGGATTGTTACATTTCAAACTTAAATTAGACCTCCATACAATATTCTCTTTTTTCAAATCATTTTCATTATTTTTCCAAATTATTGCAAATCAAAATAAAATAATTTAAAATCAGGTCCTGTTGAAACATATGTCCAAGATACACACACACCCCGTGTGCGCTGCTTCGTTTCTGATTTAGTGTTCCTCCTTAGAGACAGCACCTCTGTTACGTCTTATAAATATAAAATTCCAGTTCATATTTTAGGCTTAAGAGTCAGAAGTTTGCAATCTGGAAATGTGCATGTATTTGGACCAGATGGGTCCCTCTGTACTCTACAGTTGTTTCCTGTTTTCACTGGGATTTTAACGATCCTTTGCAAAAAGATCACACCAGTCTTGTAAACTAAGTAACCTCACAACTCCAATTCAGAGAAAACCAGTTGCTGTGGAATCTGAGGCAACTAACTCCCCCCCCCCCCAAATCCTCAAGGCTGTGGGAATGTTCAGGGAGGCAGGAGAGGATATATTGTTTGTTAATATCCTTCCTAATTTGAGTCTGCAAGCTCCTTTACTTAGCAGAGTTTACATTCCCCTTTTAAATGCACAGCGGATAGCTGGTTGCAGGCTTGTGTAAGCCTCTCACTATTAGATTCCTGGTAAGTTCCCTTATATCCCTCTTAAAAGAGTAAACACACAACAATCTTATTTAAAGTCAATACAGTGGTACCTCGGGTTACAGAGGCTTCAGGTTCCAGACTCCGCTAATCCAGAAATAGTACCTCGGGTTAAGAACTTTGCTTCAGGATGAGAACAGAAATCGTGCTCCGGCGGCAGCGGGAGGCCCCATTAGCTAAAGTGGTGCTTCAGGTTAAGAACAGTTTCAGGTTAAGAATGGACCTCCAGAACGAATTAAGTTCTTAACCCAAGTTACCACTGTAAAAAGAAGTTTACTCACATCAACAGTTCACAGTTGGATCCCTGAAGGCAGACTTAGTTACAAAGTTTATACATGTGGATCTATTCCATATGGAGATAATTGCAGTGTCCTCTGTTTTAGCTTAAAAAATCCTGCTTCAACGATGGAGGAAGTGAAACGCTGACAAAAGGCCCCCTGTAATGTGCTTTAATTATTCTGATTGCAGGTTTTATAGATGTTTATATAAATATAACCTGTTACCCATCATTCTTGTCTTGAGTCTTTTTGGATGGGTTGGCAAACTTCTCTAATTCATTCAGGTCCTGTTGTTGTTAGCAGCCCTGAGCCTGCCTTCGGCTGGGGAGGGCGGAATATAAATAAATATTATTATTATTATTATTATTATTATTATTATTAAAATCCTTGGTGATTTTTGAAGTGAATCAGATGGTTTGGGTTTTGGGGGTGATTGTTCCATTTGTGGGGCAGGGCAAAATGCAGGGTTTTTGCTGCAAAACGTTTGCCAAAGTTTGGCACCAGTTTGGAGCAAATCGGACATTGTTGAGTTTGGGGACTTTAACTACGAACTCAGTTTGGATATATCAATTACTCTGTGGAGTGCTGCAAACACGAGGTTTTCTCTGCAAAATGAATGCAAAACTATGGCACCAGTTTGGAGGAGATCCCAGATTTTGGGGTAGTTCATTAAGCTGAGATGTCCACCCCTACAAAGGAGGCCTAGTGGCTACCCCAAGTTCCACTTCAGAGTGTGAACGAGATTGCAACTTCTGCAAATGCAGAACTGAGGCTGAGAAGTTGCTGCTTGCCTATGAGCTTCTAAAGACTTTCCTACCCTGTTTGTAACACTGAAGCAAAATATGGACGCCATCCCGGTCTTATTTTGGACCTTTAAGTGCAGATCTGTGAGTGTTTCTTTTTTATCCTGGCCATTTCAGACTTTACAAGGATTGAAAAAGTCTGCAGTTGAAAGGGAAAAGGTCTGGGACAACACTGGGCTGGGGAGACAGACCAGTCCAGATCCATATTTTGCTCTGAAGAAGAGTTTGGATTTGATATCCCACTTTATCACTACCCAAAGGAGTCTCAAAGTGGCTAACATTCTCCTTTCCCTTCCTCCTCCACAACAAACACTCTGTGAGGTGAGTGGGGCTGAGAGACTTCAAAGAAGTGTGACTAGCCCAAGGTCACCCAGCAGCTGCATGTGGAGGAGCAGGGAAGCGAACCCGGTTCACCAGATTACAAGTCTACCACTCTTAACCACTACACCACACTGGCTGTCTGCTGTGGACAAGCCCTTTTAGGCCGAGAAAAAAGGTTGAAACAGCTTGGGCCTCTGTGGTGCAATGGACCAGTGCTGCCGGCAGTTAACCAGAAGATTGATAGTTTGAGCCCACCCAGAGATGACTATGGGCAGGATTCCTGAATTGCAGGGGGTTGGCCTTGATGACCCTCTGGGTCCCTTCCAACTTTGTGATTCTATGGAATACCAGCTATTATATACAGACAACAATCTATTGTACAATTTGTTGATTCTGTGAGCAGATTTGACAGGACGAAGAGGTGACATTTGGTGACCTTGACATTTTACTGCCATTCTCTCGTTCCTTATAAGCATAGATTGTAGAAAGTTATGTAATGCAAGAGAACAAAATAGAAAAAAGGCCACACATTCAGTTTATTTTGCTCATTCTTGTGAAGAGCGGCTGAAATAATTGCATATATTTGATGCAGTGTATCCTTTTTTCCCCCACATCTGCTTCATTTGTTAGGTGATAGGCAGGCTGAAATTAACAGTCAAGGTGAAAAATAAAACAGCTTTGAACACAGATGAATTAAAAAAACAGCTAAAAAACTGGATTCCAGGGAACAAAAACATGCCTTCCGCAAAAGTAAATCAAGCAGGAATGGTACATCTTTACGAATATTCTCTCCAAATGTGAACATATGATTTTACACTTGTCCCTCTCTTTTTTCTACGTGCAGCTATTTACCAGTTTTAATAATGTATGTCTGCAAGAAGCAGGTGCCTTGGTCATAAGGCAATAAATAAAGGCATGCTTGCGTACGTTGCAAAGGGTTTTAAGCTCTATTATCAGGCAAAGGTGAATGAGAAAGGTTTGTATATTCTATGCCAGGGGTGAGCAAACTTTCAGCAGGGGGCCAGTCCACTGTCCCTCAGACCTTGTGGGGGGCCGGACTATATTTTTTTGGGGGGAATGAACGAATTCCTATGCCCCACAGATAACCCAGAGATGCATTTTAAATAAAAAGACACATTCTACTCATGTAAAAACACTCTGATTCCCGGACCGTCCGCGGGCCACATTTAGAAGGCGATTGGGTTGGATCCGGCCCCCCGGTCTTAGTTTGCCTACCCATGTTCTATGCTAAAAGCAAAATCCCAATTCTGCCCAAAGCTGCTCCTTGAGGTCTAGAGCAGTGATGGGAAATCTGTAGCCCTCTGGAAATTGTATGACTCCACCATTCATAAGCAAGAAAAATGAACGGTTGCCGAATAGATCTGGCAAGAGGACAAACTTGAGAAAAGATCTTGTTTTCAGCTCTGTGCTGAGGAAGAGCTCCAGAGTGGAATTTTAATGGCGAAGACTGGACATATACTCTGTGGGTTATTTATGGTCGCAGCCCATACACTAGTTGGTGAACAGCGGAAGGCATGGAATGTGACCTTGTACCATCCAGATAAACACTGCAAAGAACTGAACAATGGAAGATAGTACTTAATTCTCCCAGCACACCAGGTCTGAAACAACAAATGTATATGAAGGACTACACACATGTAATGGATTTTATACTTATAAGATGTAACAGAGGTGCTGTTTGTAAGGAGGAAAATGCGGTCAGCTGCAAGAATAATGTAATGAAGATTGGCGGATGACAACTGAACACTAAATAAGAAATGATGCAGCTATGGGAGGAAACAATCGGCATATGTTTGCAACAGGAGCAGGGAACCTGATTTTTAGGAAATTGTATTCAATTAAAGCAATTTGGTTGGATTTGTACTAATTTGGAAAATTAATAAAAATAATTGGAAAAACACAAAGTAAAAGCTGAGGCTGCTAAAATAGGGCCGCCGTATGTCCGGGATTTCAAAGGCAGAATTGACGTCCAGAGAGCAATTCCGAAAGCTGGTACCTTGTCTTGGTTCTTGGGCAAAAAGCTCAACAATTTTAATGGTTTCCTGGTTTTTACTTTTTGAAATACGGCAACCTTAGCCGAACAGATTCTGGAGTTGGGGTATTGTTTAGGGGGTTAACTGTTTTTAAGACGTGAGGTTTGTTGTTGTTTTGCTGTTGTTTTTTATTGAGGGAGGGGAGATGTGTCTGGGAGCAGAGGAACTGGGGAGAGCAGGAGGGGCCAATCACAGTGGTTCAGGGTTGGAGGAGGTATGGGGAAGTGGGGCAGGCTGGGTAAAGGCCTGTCTCGTGGGCCAGCCCCTCCTCCTACCTGGGGAATTGAGGTTGCCCTTGTGGGATGTAAGAATCAGGTGCAGTCAAACAAGATTGCTAGAGTAGACATGAAGGTTGTCTCAGTCCTCCAGCCGAAACTTCCTATGTGTAACTTGAGATGGGCTTGGCCTCTCCTGAAGTAATGATCCAGAACCACAGGCTGGCAACCATCTTGTCTCTATTGATGCCATCTTAACAACAGCACTACTAAGATGCACCCTTGGCTCCAGGCCAAGAGAAGAAAAGGGGGGCTTTCTCCCATAAGGAGATGAAGGTAAAGGGACCCCTGACCATTAGGTCCAGTCATGACCGACTCTGGGGTTGCGGCACTCATCTCGGTTTATTGGTCGAGGGAGCCGGCGTACAGCTTCCGGGTCATGTGGGCAGCATGACTAAGCCGCTTCTGGCGAACCAGAGCAGCGCACAGAAACGCCGTTTACCTTCCCGCCAGAGCGGTACCTATTTATCTACTTGCACTTTGACATGCTTTCGAACTGCTAGGTTGGCAGGAGCAGGGACCGAAGAACGGGAGCTCACCCCATCGCGGGGATTCGAACTGCCGACCTTCTGATCGGCAAGTCCTAGGCTCTGTGGTTTAACCCACAGCGCCACCCCCTTCCCATAAGGAGATAGTCAATAGTCACCACATTTAAACTATGTTCTAACCTTTTAAGTCTGCCTTCTGGGAACCTTTGTGAGAACAGATGATTACTTGTGACTAAATGTTTTATACTTTATGGAAGACTGTGTAGTGTCTTATTTTAGGAGGGATTAAACGGGGAAAATACCAGGAAATATTTACAAAGACTCTAATGAGTCTGAGCAAGCTATCTGCTGTGTGTGTGTGTTTAAAAAAAGGGAATGTTAACTCTGCTGATTTTGTTGAACTTGTAAAGACAAGTTGGGATAGGATATCTTAGACAATATATCCTCCCCCGCATCCCTAAAATTTCCCACAGCCCTATCAGCCAGCCCTCGGGTCTGTGGCTGCTGTTGCTAAATGCTAGGTCGACTGAGTAAGACCTCCATCATCCATGATCTGACTGTGGATGAGGAGGTCAATCTGGTCTGTATCACTGAGTGGGTGAGCAGGGTGGAGTTGGTCTGACCCAGTTGTGCCCACTTGGGTACTCGGCGCAGCATCAGGCCAGACTTGGAGGTCAGGGAGGGAGTGTTGCTGTGGTCTAAAGAGATTCCCCTCTCTTCTCTCCTCAGGCTCTCTGTCCAGGTGTGTGCGACAGGAATCCACAGCGTCTGTTCCTAGCACTGGACAAATGGGAGATTCTGCTGGTTTACATCCTGCCTCGCTGCCCAGCGGTCTCCCTGCCTGAGCTGACAGAGCTGGTCTCAGCGGCGGTGTTGAGGACTCCCAGACTGCTGGTTCTGGGTGACTTCAACATCCATGCCAAGGCGACTGGCTCTGGGGTGGCTCAGGACTTTAGGGCTGCCATGACAACCATGGGGCTGTCCCAATATGTCATTGGCCTAACGCATGTGGCAGGCCACACTCTGGACCTTGTTTTCTCAACTGGGCAGGAAGAAGGTGATTTCAACATGGGGGATACTGACATCAGGCCCTTGTCATGGTCAGATCACTTCCTGTTGAAACATTTCCCATCATCCTTAACCATTGTCCATGCTGGCTCGGGCTGATGGGAGTTCCATAACAACTGGGAGAACCACAAAGCTTCCCAACCTCTGCAATACAGAATACAACTATGTTCTACATTTCACTTGACCATAATGCAGATCACTTATTTCAAACATCATGATTCCAGTTCCTCCCCCCGCCCCCCCCCCCGAGATGGTATTATGTCTCAAGGCAAAAGAAGAAGAAGAAAAGCATTAAGGGCATCTCTACAGCTCCTACTTAAACAGTTTGTCATTCCCACTCTTCAGAGAACCATGGCGGACTGTCAGCGAGTGAACAGAGTTATATAGCATATTTGAAAAGAGAATTCTGAATACAGGTACTTGAACGCAGCACAATTGAACTAACCCTGGGAACATTGGGGGGGGGATCAAAGGCTGATGTATTCCGGAGTCATTACTTCTTGCAGTAAAAGCTTTGTCTGATCCTGGCATTCCCAATCAAAACAAAGTAAATTCGAACAGAACAGCAGCATCATCATTGAATAATCATAATACAAAGCCCTACCTTGTAACATCATGTATATTCTTAGAATTTAATTTCCACATCCCATGGAGAATGATGCTGATACTGTTATAAAATCTCAACAAAAATCGAAGGCAGCAAATGAAATTTGCTGTGCTTTTCTGGCGTCTCCCGTAGCTTTGGGGAGCAGTGCAACATCAGAAGCTGTTTTGCCGAGCTGTGTAAAATCCTGAAATGTATTCAGCATGTCCAGCCTTCACACATCCCTTTCTCTCTATTGGCTGATCAGTAAATCAGAGGAGGGGCATGTCTCTTACTACCTTTCCCCCCCAATACAGTATAAGAAGCAGTAGCAGCCGGCAGGCAGGCATTGCACAGAAGGCTGAGTAGTAGTTATGGTTTTCAATGATGTATCTCTCTCTCTCAGTAGCAGGGACTAGCGCACTCTAGCCTTGTGCTTTTATAGAGAACAACAGAAAAGTAATTCTTGACGCTCCCGGCTTCCTTGAGAGGGAGGCAGCATTCAGCTACATCGTTCCCAGCGGGTACAACAGGCGATTGCAGAGTTGGATAAGCCAGCAATAATTGCAAAACACTGCAGCTTTACCTTGTCTATCAGAGTCTGGTTTCCTGCTGCTGTACACCATCCCACTCTTTGGAAACGGCATTCGACCAGTTCTGCAGCTCCCCAGCCAGTGAAAAACCCCAAAGAACTATTCAAAGAGGAGAAACCACTGACAGGTGAATTTCATTTTCAAGCAGCAAACTGGCAAGCCACCACCTGATTTGGGACCGGCGCTTTGTGAGATGAACTTCACACAGCACTATGGAGTTCACGAACCTCTCGGCTTGTGGAATCGCAGTTACGGACTACGTGGCGGAGGAGGCACGAATCGATCCCTGGGGAAGGCTTACTCTTCGGAAGGCTGCTACGAGCAACTTTTCGTCTCGCCCGAAGTGTTCGTCATGCTTGGCTTTGTCAGCTTGCTGGAGAACGTGCTGGTGATTGTGGCCATCGCCAAGAACAAGAACTTGCATTCGCCAATGTATTTCTTCATCTGCAGCTTGGCGGTGGCCGACATGCTGGTGAGCGTCTCCAACGGGTCGGAGACCATCGTCATCACCCTGCTGAACAACACCGACGCGGACGCGCAAGGCTTCACCGTCAGCATCGACAACATCATTGACTCGGTCATCTGCAGCTCTTTGCTGGCCTCCATCTGCAGCCTGCTCTCCATTGCTGTGGACAGGTATTTCACCATCTTCTACGCTCTCCAGTATCACAACATCATGACTGTGAAGCGTGTGTTCATCATCATCACCTGCATCTGGGCTGCTTGCACCATCTCGGGCATTCTGTTCATCATTTACTCCGACAGCAGCGCCGTCATCATTTGCCTCATCACCATGTTCTTCACCATGCTGGTCCTCATGGCTTCTCTCTACGTCCACATGTTCCTGCTGGCCCGGCTGCACATTAAGAAGATTGCCATTCTCCCCGGCAGTGGCCCGATACGCCAGGGCGCCAATATGAAGGGGGCCATCACCCTGACCATCTTGATTGGCGTGTTTGTTGTGTGCTGGGCTCCGCTCTTCCTTCACTTGCTCTTCTACATCTCCTGCCCTCACAACCCTTACTGCATCTGTTTCATGTCCCACTTTAACCTGTACCTCATCCTTATCATGTGCAACTCCATTATCGACCCTCTTATCTACGCATTCCGGAGTCAAGAGCTGAGGAAAACCTTCAAGGAGATCATGTGCTGCTGCAGCTTGCGAGAGCTCTGCGATTTCTCTGGCAAATACTGAGTGGATGTGGCTCAGCTACCACACAGACACACACTTGCCACTTTTAAGGCTGTCTTGGCTACATCCATAACAACGAACCTCTTCCGACTGTAGTTATTAGTTGCATCTTTCCTCCTTCTCGCTTGTCATGCTTCAAGTGCAATTATTTCAATGTCAAAGCAGTGGTGGTGATTGGAAATGTTCCGACAGACTGCAATTAAAGGAACAATGTCAACTTATTTTTGAAACTGCCAGACACCAATAAATGGATTCTGAGGATTGCAAAGAAACAGTTGCCTTATAAATGCACGTAACTGTGCAGATATAAAATGCACACAGTCGTGTTCTTAGACTTGCTCCATTACACTGCATTTGTTCAAGAGCTGGAGCCGGTTTATGCCTCACACACATGTTGCTAATTTTAATTAAATACTAGTGGGCGTTATTACAGGGCTCTGTTTTTATTCCACACTGAGCTCAAATGTATATTAAAGAGGCATTGTTTAATAGCATCAATCTAGCTAAAGTTAGATAGAACTAGCAACCATTGGGGTCACTGAAATTGGATTTTTTGGAGGGGACTGTAAATTATGCTGTAAATGGTGTTATGAACAATGTTTTGTTTCCCTGAAAGTGTTCATATTGGATTGTGATAATAAGAAATGTCATTTGTATTTATTTATTTACTTGCTTGATTTACTTAGACATGTTTGCTCAAGGTGAAATACAGAATTAAAGCACACCTTAAACACAGAATCGAGCAATTAAAGTCACACAGCTTAAAATGTATGTTAGACGCGCTGTGATTGTTGAATGAAGGGTGGTATATAAATTTAACAAACAAACAAATCATTTAAAAGCATGTTTAAAATCACATAAATAAAGGAAGGGATAACAGCACTCTGCATTAAATGTTGGATCAGGTTAGCTCCAAACTAGATGTTTAGCAGCAGTCCTAAGGGGTCAGATCTGGCCTCCGAGGAAAACATTGCTCACTGCAGCTGCCACATTGTTGGAAGGGTGCTGAAGGAAAAGCGAGCAAAGACTTTGAGTGAAAAGACCAAGAGGAAGGAAGGGACTTTGCCCTTTGCAACTGTGCAGCAGCCTAGAGACATTGTGGAGAGCACCCGTCTTGTAACCTCTCCCCAGAACCCACTTTGTCACGGCACAAACATCCTGACACTGGCGATGCTCCAGGCTAGCCCCCGTGGTGCTGGTACACCTGCATGTGATGACTGAAGGGGACAGGCAGACACACAGCTCTGAGAGATGGCATGTTACTCTATGTGTCAGGTGCCAAAACCTCCCGGGCGTGGCCCTGCAAAGGACATAAGTGGGGAGGGGGGCTTGTAGCACTCCTGGTCAAGGCTTAAAAGTCCTAGGTCCTTTTTAGTACTCCAAGAGGCCTGAGCGTTTAGCGCCCCTTCCTTGTCACTATGCTGCCAAGGGGAGCAAGGGAAATGTAGCGTCTACAAAACTGGGCAGATCCAATGTAAAAACAACTCTGAAAGTGTATACAGTCGTACCTTGGATCCCAGATGCCTTGCGAGTCGAACGTTCTGGCCCCCGAATGCCACAAACCCGGAAGTGAGTGTTCTTTTGGAACGTTTGTTTGGAACCTGAACGTCCGACGGGACTTTCATGGCTTTCGGTGTTTCGGTGTTTCCGAACATTTAAGAAGTCGAACGGACAACTGGAACGGATTCCGTTCGACTTCCGAGGTACCACTGTACTCGATTCTGACCAAACTAAGCCTCCTGAGGTACATTTTGCTCTACGAGACTTGGTTTAGCCAAAATCGAGTACAGTAGTACCTCGGGTTACAGACGCTTCAGGTTACAGACTCCGCTAACCCAGAAATAGTACCTCGGGTTAAGAAGTTTGCTTCAGGATGAGAACAGAAATCGCACGGCGGCAGCAGGAGGCCCCATTAGCTAAAGTGGTAACTCAGGTTAAGAACAGTTTAAGGTTAAGAACAGACCTCCAGAATGAATTAAGTTCTTAACCCGAGGTACCACTGTCTACACTTGTAGAGCGAATGCTAAATACATTACTTCTAGTAAATGAGCCACCATAGCCACAAGAGGGCCATGAAAACTTGTGTCCCAGGCTTTTTAGAATCGTCTACCCATGTACTGTCTGAAACCAAAGGGGTGCATGTGTTGCCAGATGTGAAATATATTGGCTATTTTTCAGCTTTTCTACGTCACTAATCCTGAGCCCTTTATTCCCCCATCACAATAATTTCTGCAACGGTGTTCTTTTTCTCCCTCTCACAAATTTTGACGCCTATAAAATAAAATGCTTTATGACCAATTAAAGCTGGAATTAACAGGCCTGTAAGTGGTTGAAGGAACATGCACTGTAATGAGCACCACAATTATTTTCAAAGCAAGCGTCTAGCCCTGGAAAAGTACAAGGAGTGTTCCTATTAAATCTATAAAAGAACATTTTAGATCCCCCAAACTATGACTCAGCTAAGCTGGGTCACCATGATACGATGCCTTTAATTACAGGATATCTGAGATAGTTTCAGCTGCGACAATGTGACAGACACATATTTTCTGAACTCACACAAAAGCAAGATTTGAGGTTTTCGTCATTCCCTCCCCTCCTTTGATTTATGCTTTGTTCAAATATGACAATTCACTCAGCAACCAAGTGCTCTCTGTGACGTGGCACAGACATTGATACAAAAGAGCCTTATTTTGAAGCAAGTGCAACTGCTGCTCAGAAAGTGTGTTTGAGCATTATCTCATCTGGAGGTTTCAGGAAATGAGAGGGAGAAATCAAGGCTGCAATTCTAACCTCAGATCTGGGCTGTTGGAGCAGGTTAGGAGCCAACAGACACCCTTGTATTGCCAGACCAGATATGGGCAGTAGGGGATGCTTCCTGGTTTCAGCGTTTAATATAGCTTTAAATCTTTATATATTTATCCAAATAATGAGGGCCTTGTCATATAGCCAACTTACAATGAGGAACTGGTGCTAGATGCCGCTATATATTTGTAAATATAATTAGAACTATATATGATAAGGGCTTGGCGATCACTTTGTTACTTAATGAGAATTTGGCCTGTCTAGTTTGACAAGTTAACATGCCCGAGATGTGAACTCAGTGCCGGATTTACGTATAAGCTAAACAAACTATAGCTTAGGGCCCCACTCTCTTGGGGGCCCCAAAAAAATTCAAAGGGAAAAAAAACACCCCAGATGTAAATTTCCAAAATATAAGATAAAAAGCAAATAAAATAAAACCTACATACAGCAACAGTGTTTTGTGATGTGTAGGCTCCTATGATGCAAGTAATGGGCCCCGCCTGCTATATAAAGGGCCCCATTACCTTCCGTAGCTTAGGGCCTTGTCAAACCTAAATCCAGCCCTGCGTGAACTGTACTTGGCTCAACCCGAGGGACAGCTGATGTCATGAACCCTAATTGATCAGAGATAAGGCCGGCACGTGCGTTCACTCCCAAGTAGAGAGGAAGGTTCACATAATGTAGAACACCTGCATAGCCTGGTATCACGCCCTTGCAAGGGCTATACAAGCTCCTAACGTCAGAAGCTGAGTCGAGTCTTCATGTTTGAGTTCTACCAGTAAACATTGGACGTTGGTCCCATCAACTGAGTGAAGGCTCTGCTGCTCCTGGGGACTCCACAGCAGTGGAAACCATGAATTTCGCCTTTGCAATTATCTCCCTAATACCCCTTTGAGCTTGTATCTTAAGTGCCACTTGTTAGTGAGTACGAGATATAACTTCTAGACTGCTTCTTCTGTTTTATTGTCTACGTATACGTGAAGGAGCGTCTCCACCTCCATCGTTCAGCCCGGACACTGAGGTCCAGCTCCGAGGGCCTTCTGGCAGTTCCCTCACTGCGAGAAGCCAAGTTACAGGGAACCAAGCAGAGGCCTTCTCAGTAGTGGCGCCTGCCCTGTGGAACGCCCTCCCATCAAATGTCAAGGAAATAAACAACTATCTGACTTTTAGAAGACATCTGAAGGCAGCCCTGGTTAGGGAAGTTTTTATTGTTTGATTCTGTTTTTAATCTGTTGGGAGCCACCCAGAGTGGCTGGGGAAACCCAGCCAGACGGGTGGGGTATAAATAATATATTATTGTTGTTGTTGTTGTTGTTGTTGTTGTTGTTGTTGTTATTATTGTCAGTCAATAAACCATTTTCTTCTTCATCTAACCATCTGCCAATCCTCCATCTGCTGAGATCCAAAAGAACTCCTTGCTTGCTCTAACTCCTAGGCAGCTTAGCAAAACAAGCCCCATCCAGCAATCCTTGCAAATGCCCCTGTTTGTGAGGCCTGCTCGCGAGCTCTTGGTCACAAACTCCCAAAAGCTGCAATATCATGGCGCCATAGATCTGGATCTGTCCATTTTGGTCCTCTCCATTTCTCATTTTTCCAATCATCCGTTCGGTTCTCCACATTTTGCAGCCATTTGCATTTTTTAAAAAAATCCTCGTATGCTAATCGTCATTTCAGTGTGAATTTCTCCCGATAAACACATTTTTATATGCAGTTGTGACTAATGCACATTTTTCATTTGAAAGGCCGTGTCTTTTAAAATGTGATATTCACCAATAGCTTCATTTTTATGCACAATTTTCAAAAGTAGAATAAATGCAAGTATCAAAGGATAGCTTTGTTCCTGTTCACGTATCGTTTTGGAAAGAGCAAATTTGATAGATTTAGCTTTTACTGTGTACTGAACTGATTGTCTCCTCCATTGCTACACGCACTCATTACTCTTACTAAACATTAGAGGGAGAGAAAGTGGAACTGGACGTGGATTTGCTATTCTCAGTGCTGACTTGTTATCCGCATCACATCTTGCTCTGCCCTTAGAAACTGAACAGTGCTGGAGATCTCTTGCTCGGAAAAAAACAAATAAGACACTTACAGCATGCACACAATCCCTTGGGCAAACAAAGTTGACTACAGGCTTTAAATGTTTGTCTTTGATGGCTATGGTGTGCCCCAGCACCTCTTCTGGAAGGTAGTAGAGCAGAAACCATTTTAATTACATTATTGAGCAAGCCAACCACAGGGTCAGCACATTGGACAGGGGCAGCAGACCAGTCACAGTTGCATAAATGAGCTAAGAAAGAATTGTCCTTCCATACAGATTAGAGCCTTTTAAAATGTGCCCCCTACCCCCATGATGTACAGAAAACATATTATCAAGGATAGGGTAAAATGGGAGTATATGATATATCCTGATAGTTGTGGAGCATGGTTTTTAATCTGTGTTTAGTTTGGATTATATTTCTAATTAAAATACGCTTGGAAGAAACAATTGTCACATTACACAAGGTTATTCCACATCCAAAGGGATTGTTTCCTCATCTCCTCTTAGATAAAAAACGATGAAAGGAGTAGCATAACAAACACTGCAGAGTGTCAAATACTTAATGGGATGACTCCATTTCCCCCCAAGAAGGGGGGCGGAAAGAGAAAATGTAAACAATATATTATTTTCTGAAAACGATTCTGATTGTTTATGTCAATTTTATTTATTTTTTTTTTTAAAGCGATTTATTGGGTTTTACAATAAGAATAAACATAATAAACAATATAACATTTGTCTTAACATAGTTTCACATTTTCTTTGGACTTCCTCACATCCCCCGCTCCCACTTTCATCGTTATAACATTTTGTCAGCAATTTATCATCTTATTTAAATTCTTATATCTCTTCAATGTTTCATAATCTTATAGTTCTCATAGAGAGTTAAACTTTCACAGTCTTACTTAATTTCTTAAAAACTTCTAAGTTAAGTGGTGCTCAGTTATTTAGTCTAGCATCTTATTTAGCATTCACTCAAATCACAATATTTTTGTAGATAGTTCTTAAATTTCTTCCAATCCTCCTCGATTCTCTCTTCTCCCAGGTCACGGATTCTGCCGGTCATTTCAGCCAGTTCCATGTAGTCTATCAGTTGCATCTGCCATTCTTCCAGTGTGGGTAAATCTTGAGTTTTCCAATGTTTTGCAAGAAGTATCCTTGCTGCTGTTGTTGCATACATAAAAATGTCTGGTCCTTCTTTGCCACCCCTTGGCTGACAATACCCAGAAGGAAAGCCTCTGGTTTCTTGGTAAAGGTATATTTAAATACCTTTTCAATTCATTATAAATCATTTCCCAGAACGCCTTCACTTTAGGGCAGGTCCACCAGAGGTGGAAGAACGTTCCCTCACACTCTTTACATTTCCAACACTTATTATCAGACAGGTGGTAAATTTTTGCAAGTTTAACTGGGGTCATATACCATCTATAAATCATTTTCATTACATTTTCTTTCAGAGCGTTACATGCAGTAAATTTCAATCCATTACTCCACAACTTTTCCCAGTCCTCAAACATAATATTATACCCAATGTCCTGTGCCCACCTTATCATAGCCGATTTAACCATTTCATCTTGTGTATTCCATTCCAACAGCAAGTTATACATCCTTGAAAGTACCTTAGTCTTTGGTTCTAACAATTCTGTTTCTAATTTCGATTTCTCCACCTGGAACCCTAGTTTCTTATCATTTTTAAAAACTTCTTTAATCTGAGCGTAATGTAACCAATCTCGCACTTTGTCTTTCATTTTCTCCAAACTCTGCAATTTCCAATTGTCTCCATCTTTTCTAGTATTTCCCAATATTTTGGCCATTTAGCCTCCATATTGGGTCTTTTCGGACCTTAGCTTCCAAAGGTGAAAGCCACCTTGGTGTTTTATTTTCCAGCAAGTCTTTATATTTTGTCCAGACATTAAACAATGATTTTCTGACAATATGGTTCTTGAAGGCCTTATTTGCTTTAACTTTGTCATACCATAAATATGCATGCCATCCAAAAACATTATTAAACCCTTCCAAATCCAACACATCAGTGTCTTCAAGAAGTAGCCAGTCTTTTAGCCAGCAGAACGCTGCGGCTTCATAATACAACTTTAAGTCCGGCAGGGCAAAGCCCCTCTTTGTTTTGCATCAGTTAATATCTTAAACTTGATTCTGGGCTTTTGCCCTGCCAGACAAACTTCGAAATATCTCTCTGCCACTTCTGAAAGCACTCCGTTTTGTCCAAAACCTGAAGTGTTTGAAATAAAAACAACATCCTTGGCAATACATTCATCTTAATAGCAGCAATTCGGCCTAACAAAGAAAGTTTCAATTTTGACCAACTGTCTAAGTCTCTCTTAATTTCTGTCCAACATTTTTCATAGTTATCCTTAAATAGACTTAGATTTTTGCTGTTATGTTTACCCCTAGGTATTTTACTTTTTAACCACATTAAGTTCCGTCTCATTCTGAAACCGTTCTGACTCTGTATCAGTCAAATTTTTCCCCAAAACCTTAGTTTTCTGTTTATTTAATTTAAATCCCGCCACCCGACCAAAATCATTAATCAATTGTAATACTCTTTTCGTACTGGGCTCTGGCTTCTGCAAGGTCAAAACCAGGTCATCTGCAAAAGCTTTTAGTTTATATTGTTTCTGACCAACCTGAATTCCTTCAACCAACCGATCCCCTCTAATCATGTTCAGTAGCACTTCCAGAACCGAAATAAATAACAAGGGGGAGATGGGGCAACCTTGTCGTGTCCCTTTTTCAATTTTGAACTCTTCTGTGACCACATTATTAACTATCAGTTTAGCTTTCTGTTCTGAATATATCGCCTCAATCCCATTCTCAAAACCCCGTCCCACTCCCATCTCTTTTAAATTTCCCATCATAAATTTCCAGGAAATATTGTCAAAGGCCTTCTCCGCATCTATGAAAATTAAAACTGCTTTTGTATTTATATCTGTTTGCAGAAGTTCCAAGATGTCAATAATGTTCCTTGTGTTAGCAAACAGATGTCTACCTGGGAGAAAACCGGCCTGGTCCTTATGAATTACTTCATTTAATACTTTTTAAATCTACTTGCCAAAATATCTGCAAATATTTTGTAATCCACATTTAAAAGAGAGATGGGACGGTAGTTCTTCAGTTGTGTCTTTTCAGCTTCTGACTTTGGTATTAATGTGATGAACGCTTCCTTCCACGAATCCGGTGCCCTCTTCCCTCCATAATTTCATTGCAGACCTCCATCAAGGGTTGTATCAAATAGTCTTTTAATGTCTTATAATACTTGGAGGTCAGCCCATCTGGCCCTGGAGATTTGCCAAGTTGCATGTTCTGAATAGCTTGTTCAATCTCCTGTCGTGTTATTTTAGAGTTCAGGATTGTCCTGTTTTCTTGTGACAATTTAGATAATCCATTTTTGCCAAAAATTGTTTAATCTCAACTTCGTCTTGCGGCCCTTGGGTGTATAATTTTTAAAATATCTCTGGAAACACTTTCTAATATCCACTGGATTCTGAATGTTTTTCCATCAACCTCTAAGTTTGTAACCGTGTTTAATCTTTGTCTTCTCTTCAACTGCCAAGCTAGCAGTTTTCCACATTTATTCGCCGACTCAAACGTTTTTGTTTCATTAATTTAACCTTCCATTCAATTTCCTGATTTATCAATTTAGAATATTGTGTTTGATAGAGTTTAATTTCTCTCAGAGTTGGCTGTGACTTTGGATTCGCTCTTAATTTCTTCTCTAATTCTTTTAATTTGTCCAAGATCTTATCTTTTTCTCATTTTGTGTTCTTTTCTTTACTACATTCTGTTGTATCAAGAATCCCCTCATTACAGCTTTGCTTGCGTCCCAGACAATTCTTTTTCCACCGAATTGTTCATGTTTATCTCAAAATAGTCCTTCAAAACTTTTTGGGCCTTCTTGGTAATTTCCTGATCTCTAAACAAATTGTCATTCATCTTCCATCTAAAGGATCCAGTTGGTAGTAGTGTCATATCCATCTTTACTGCATTATGGTCAGAGCAGGTCTTTGGGCAGATTTCCACTTTTCTGACCTTAGGTGCCAGGCCTCTGGAAATCCATATTTGGTCGATTCTTGTCCAGGTCAGTTGGGCTTCAGAAAAGAATGTTCCTTCTCTACCTAGTGGGTTCTTTGTCCTCCAAATGTCAATCAAATCCATATTGTCAGTCATTTCAAAAAAGTTTTAGGTAGTCTGCCGTCTTTTGTAACATTTTGACTTTGTGACTTGTCCATGTTAGTTGACACGACCCGTTCATGTCTCCCATCATTATGATGTTGTTGTAATCCAGATATTCCAGCATTGTCCCCTGCAGCTTCTTGTAAAATTCCGATTTCCCTTCATTAGGTGCATAGATTCCTAATATCAACAGTTTCTCTCCTTGATATTGTATCTCAATGGCCAAAATTCTTCCATGTTCATCTTTAAATAAGAATTTAGGTGACAGGCTCTCTTTGCATATATCACCACGCCTCTCTTCTTAACTTTGTCCGATCGAAACAAATTCCTGGCCCAATCTTTTATTTATTAACACTTTTCTGTGGAGCCTCGTCACATGTGTTTCTTGTAAACAGATAATGTCCAATTGTTCTTTTTTAATATATGAAATATTTTCTTCCTTTTTCCGGAATATTACAACCATTAATGTTCCAACTCAGCAATTGCAGAGACATCCTGGATCTATCTGGTTATTTCTCCAGGGGTGGTGTCTTCTCTGGATCTTCAGGTTCCCCAGGTGCTGGTGTTAATGCTGGCTTTGCCCCAGGCCCAGAAGGTAATTCAATTCCTTTTTGAAGGTCCTCTCCGTATGTAGCCAAAAATTTGTCTCTCTCTTCCAATGTTCTAACTTTGACCTTTCTCCCTTTAAAGGTACCAGTCCTCTAGAGGGAGCTTAAAATGTCTTTCAGAGTCTAATTTAATGTCCAAGAACCTTCAAATATAAATATTTAGCAGAGTTTATAAGTAGTCACTTTGTTACAGACAGTGCTTATTTATCTCCAAAAAGAATGTTTCAAATTTAAAAGTCTCAATACCCTCAGATTGTTGCAAGTTCCAATATACAGTATCCAAATCTGCAATACTGACAGCTCAATTTCTCAATTCTCAGTCAGATCCTGACTCTGGGTTTCACCTTGTAAATTTTAATCCAATAAAAGGGGTAAAGTAAAGTGCAAGTTAAAATTCCAAGTCTTTAGCTTAAAGTCTTTACTTTAAATTGCAAGTTCAGTAGATGCTTAGATCTGTAAAGTTTAAAATCTCTTCCTTTCAGCCTCCACTCCTCCAACTTAGTTGCTTTTTTCAAGTTCAATGGCTGCGGAAGACGGACTTCCTGTTTCCACGTCTCTCCGCTTTCAGCCAAGTTCAAGCCAATTTAAGGTTTTTCGTTTAAAGTCTCTAATTTCAAGTGATTCAGTCTTTACTCACGAGTAAGTTGCTTTTCGTCCGAATCCGTATTTTAACAGGAAAAAGGATCAGCGCTCACCGGCAGCAGCAGCGCGGCTTCACTCCGCAGACTGTGAAGCAGCTCTCAGCGCCGCAACCCCCCTCCACGCTCCGGAGCCCCTTACGAGGTTCCTTTCACGTTTGGAGGGTCACTTAAGGCGCCCACCGAGCCTCAAGACCCCAAGCTCTTGCTGCCTGGGGTTTTCCGGAGTGGGTCTCCGCTTCGCCGTAGCGGACGACCCGTTGTCTGCGGAGCCTCCTCTCCCGTTCAGAAGAGGACCGCCATTACCGTTCGCGCCGCCCCTCGGAAGTCTGTTTATGTCAATTTTAATCTCCAGCTTTGTTAATATAATGACTTTTGTGGTTCATCTTATCTGGCTTCCAGCTTAGTTGCCAGAGTCCTCTGAGATAAAGTTGGAGAAATTCCATAGTCTGGTTATTTGTATTTTCTCCCTGCAATTTTTCTCACTCTCCCTAGTCTAAGGGCTTGAATAAGCTAAATCCTCTGTGGACAGAATCCACTGTAATTAAATTAACACCCTTCTGGATGAAATATCCCCTTCCCCTTTTGTTTTGAAGAGTTCCAGATTCAGCTAAGTTAACCTGATCCATTGCTTTACATTCTGTCCTCTATTTATGGCAAGTAATTTTGCTGTTGATTCTATGCAGTTCACCACCATGACATGGTGATATTTAGACATTTTTGCAAACAAACAAATTGGATTAATTGTTCTTTAGGTTTCAAAGTTAAGCCTTCCCTTTTTTGCCCCACCTCTGCCTCATGGATCCAATAATCTATTTAAAATTCAGATTAATATTATCAACATTTCTTTTCGACAGCAGGGATATATATATATATTTGCTCCAGAACTGGAAAACCATGGATGTTTCTGGCTACCAGTATAATTTCATTTAACATTTATAACAGATTAAAAATATGATAGATTCAATGGACAATTCTACATGGAAGCTGCCTGTACAACGAACCTTTCTGTTGGAGGTTGATGCCCTGTTTCTGAAGGTAAGCAGCTTTTGAATGGAAAACTATCCCCTTAGACATACAGCAGGTTGCAAATATTAAGATGTGATTTAATGAACAACTCTGCACGGAAAATTCCAAGGACAGACTGGAATCAGACCGTTTTCTGCAGGTAAATCAATTCCTCAATCTTTATTCTCCAAAGAGCATTGGTGTGATTAATTTATCTAACTACGCAAGTTCACTGTTTTGCTGCTATTTCTTTTTAATTCAATGAGGATCCTAAACAATGGAACACCCCGTCCAACAGCTACCAACCCTAGGGCAATGAGTATTGTCAGAAGATTTCCCGTAAAGTTACCATCTGAGCCAAGCGAAGGTCACTAGAGCCAACCTCGAGATGCTGAGGATGCAGGGACCTCAGTTCAAACGGTCACAAGCTCCGTTGCTAGGCAACAGCCATTAATGACATGGAATGCACGGCCATCATGCCAAGGTTCTAGGGGAGTCAGTGTGGCCTAGTTGTTAGAACAATGTTAATTCCATGCAATTCAAGGGTGGTGGTATATATATTCTTTTAAATGTACCATTTTTTTATTTTTTTATTATTATTATTATTATTATTATTATTATTATTATTATTATTATTATCCTGCTTTCCAGACAGATGTTGTCTCCTAAAGCACCTGACTGATTATTATTTTTAAAGGTGAGACAAGTCCTGTCCTCAGGTATGGAAACTCAAAAAGGCAAGACACCCAATGGAAGGGATGTGGCGGAACAAGGCACACTTCACAATGCCCAAGGAAAGGCCTGAGATATGTCCACAGGCAAGTCCTGTCCTGCTGGGGCCAAGCAGACCTTCCCCACCCACAGAAGTACTTGGACAGAGATGCAGCAACTGACCATGTAGCCCTTTGTGCTCAACTTCAGGGGGGCTGTGGGGCTCAAGCCCCTCTCAGATCCCTCTGGGGGGCTTCTCTGGGCCCCACAGGCTGCAGGCAGTGCCAGGCAAATGCACAGGCTCACCTGAGGGGCTCAGTTGCAACCACGTTATACTATAGGATTGGGTGTGTGTGTGTTTATTGAACCTGCCTCAATGGGCCCATTGCCCTCACAAAGGGTCTCCCTCCTGAGCCCTGAGGGAAGAGAGGTGGGTTCCAGCAAGACCCAAGGCAGCGATTCGGCTTCAAGGCTTCATTGACGCCATTGGAGCAGACTGGGGAATACACTCTTTCAGATAGGTTGCACCTGAGCTGTGTAGACAGCAGCCTAAAAGAACCCTGTTGGCTCAGTCCAGAGGCTGGTCCTCACTTCTGTTCTCACTCCTAGATGCCTAGGAGTAGCCTGCAAGCAGGACCCGGGTGCAACAACCTTCTTCCCAGCTGGGAACTCTTGAGTGCAGCCGAAAACAAGGCGCACCTCTCAGCGGATCCAGGCCAACTGCAAGGAAACACTGTACTATACCCAACGCTGTTCTCTAGATCACTTACGTGCTTCGATACCTGATTGTCCCTTGGGCACCTTGCAGGGTGGGCCTGGTAGGGGCAGCCTGAAGGCTTTGACATCCCTGCATGGTTGCAATGATTCCCTTCAAGAACTCACACATTCCTGCATCTTCTGCAGGAGGTCAGAAAGATCTTGCAGAGCTTTCCTTCAGACCAGCTTCTTCCGACTCGTCATTGTCACAATGATGGATGTCAGTTCAGCACTCAGCTTCTCCTCGCTGAAGACTTCGGGAGCAACATCAGCCGCATCTGACACAGTAAAGTGTGTGGTTGGGACATTGAGGGGAGAGAGGAATGGCACTTTTGTTTAAAAAAATGGTTTTGTTATAAGCAACAGCTTTTCTGTAAGAAAAGTTTGACGTGTCACGTGGCCTAATTGTTTTGATTACTTTAAGGATTTTATACCATTCTGTTTGCTTACAGTATTCATTGCCCACTTCTCATTGAATAGTAGAACTGAAACAGGGCTGCTTGTGTCAGAAGGGAAATGGCTGCCTTCTCACACCCACAGTTGTGATCCCTCAATTCTCTGGAAGTCCTCAGCAGCTTCTCTTGCCTCCTTTCCTTCAGAGAGCCCAAGCTTCACCACCATAAGCAGGCTTTTGAAAGCAAAAGGAAGATTTCAGAGATTTCGTCTTCATCAAAGTCAGTACCCTGTTCATGAGAAAACAGAGCAAAGGAACAGGAAGTTCAGAGACTGGGGAATGGATCAGGCCCTCAGGCAGGGATGTCACATTTGGAACGCAGATTTCTCTGATGTATTTCTAGATATGCTGATGTGTACACTGGGATATGATATGTAAGCCCAGAGAGGCTTACATGAAATCAAAAGCAAGATACTCCCTATTTGCAGGCTTATACTGTAATAAAAAAAGCTAACAAACAGAAATGCAACACACAAGGAAAGAGGGCAAGGAGGGCTGAGGAAAAGAAAACTCTCCCACTGAGGCAGCCTAATGAAATGGCTGCTGCCAGATGACAATTGAGGGAGAGGCGGTTTGAGGGAGCTGGCCAGTCTAAAGCAGAGCCGATGGCGCTGTTTCTCGTCCCTCCTTCCTCCAGGTGTAGACCTCCGCCAGGCCTCCTCTCACTCCCTTGCCCGCACCAAGGTGCAGCCCTCCCTTCCAATGGACTCTGTGGACAGGTGGGCAGCAGGGCTCCCTGCATCAGCTCTGCGGAAAGACCAGCTTCATCCAGCACCACCTTCCCCTCCACTGGTCCAGCCGCTCACACTATATTTTCTTCTTCTGTTTTTCCCTTTCCCTTTCAAACCGTAGTACAAAACTGATATCCAGAATGTAGAAATATAAATGAACCCTCTCCCAGATTCACATATGCATATAGCAGAAGGAAGTGCTTTGTTCAAAATAATATTCAATCGACTGCAGTATGGAACACTAAATTTTCCTTTACAGCATTCATTCTCCCCTTCCAAAAACTTGATACAAAGCTCAAAATGCAAGTAGATAAATAGGTACCGCTCCAGCGGGAAGGTAAACGGCGTTTCCGTGCACTGCTCTGGTTCGCCAGAAGCGGCTTAGTCATGCTGGCTACATGACCCGGAAGTTGTACGCCGGCTCCCTCGGCCAACAAAGCGAGATGAGCGCCGCAACCCCAGAGTCGGTCACGACTAGACCTAATGGTCAGGGTTCCCTTTACCTTTAAAAGACATTCATTTTCTTTTTTTAAAAAATAGTATTTATGAAGATTTTAAGTTTACAAAAAGGCAAAAGAAAACAGAAAAAAACAACAACACCAGATTAGACAATAGTAGAACAACCCATCACAATAAAAAACAAGGAAATAAAAACACTTAAAAACAACGTACCAAAAAAAAAAGACAAATCGAGCCTTCCCATAACTTATCTTTCATATGCTTGTTTCCCTGACCTCCTCACACCTCCCTTTTTTGTATTCTAAGTCAATTATCCATTTCAGCAAATCCTTTCCCTCTCTTCAAAATTCTTATCCTGAAAATTTATCTTGATCTTACTATGTTTACTTTCCCTCTTTTCACCAATTAACAGTCTATTTTTCTTAAATCTTTGATACATTTTTGCTAAAATCACATAGATTCATTCCAACATCATTCTAACATTCATCAATTATTTTTTTTTAAATGAAATAAAATAAAAGACATTCATTTTCAATGCCCTTCCTATGTGATATGTCTACAGCCCACTGCTAGCCACATAGGTAAAGGTAAAAAAAGGTAAAGGACCCCAGGACAGTTAAGTCCAGTCAAAGGTGACTATGGGGTTTCAGCGCTCATTTCGCTTCAGGCCAAGGGAGCCAGCGTTTGGCAACAGACAGCTTTCCAGGTCATGTGGCCAGCATGACTAAACCGCTTCTGGCGCAATGGGACACCGTGACGGAAACCAGGGCACACGGAAACGCTGTTTACCTTCCTGCCACAACAGTACCTATTTATCTACTTGCACTGGTGTGCTTTCGAACTGCTAGGCTGGCAAGAGCTGGGACAGAGCAATGGGAGCTCATCCCGTTGCGGGGATTCGAACCACCGACCTTCTGATCACCAAACCCGAGAGACTCAGTGGTTTAGACCACAGCGCCACCCGTTCCCCCAAGCCACATAGGTAGGTGCAGTTCAGACTGGGTTATACACCCCAGGTTTGGCATTTCTAGCATTGACGCTTTCGTTGGAAATGGAATATATCAAATTATGTCCTAAAAATATGATGAATTTAAAATTGTATTTATGGATCTGAATGGTCCCCCCGTTTGCCAATTATTCAGCTGTGAAAAGGCAGGCTATCTAGAGGGGTCCCCCCCCCCATCTCTATGCCAAACATTTTTAGGGTAAAAGCAACAATCTCCACTGGCCACCTTATTGACAGCCAGCACCATTCTCTTCACCTCTTCAGCACTCAGTATTTGGCTTCTTCACAATCTTTTTGGATGCCCCAAAGTTTATGTCTAAGGTCTTATCTGCATTAGCCATTTAAAGCAGTATCATGCCACTTTAAACAGCCATGGCTTCCTCGTAATAATTCTGGGAAGCGTAGTTTGTTAAGGGTGCTGAGCAGTGTGTCTCTCCCCGCCCCCCAGATCTACAATTCTCAGAGTGGTTTAATGGTCAATCCCTTTCCCCAGGGAATCTCTCCTAAGTAACTCTTACCAGTAAACCAGGAAGAAGGCTGGGAAGAGCATCAGGGTAGTAGGGTGGTGTGCTAGGCTTCGGGGTAACCCGAGCAACGTGGACCAGGTCCGGTCCAGAATCTGAAGGTTCCACTAGGAGTCAGTCTGACAGGGCCAAGGAAGGACACGAGGCAGGAAACCAGGCAAGGACAGGTACAGGATCTCAGGCAGGGTCTGGCATATAGCAATGTTGCTCCTGCAACCTGGGGCAGGGTCCGACAGCCTTTTATATTTGTCAGGGTAATAGCCGGTCCTGATCCCCCGGCGACTCACCTCCCTGTTTTGCCCAAAGGCAAGCACTCCTCCTGCGAGTACTCAGGTCTCTCCTTCTCTCAGACCTTAGTCTCTGCAGCTCGGGAGATGTCGGTGGGTTACTAGACCCAGAGGCTGCCTCAGCCTCTCCTGACCCAACTGGTAGTGGAGCAGCTGTAAGTGATGGCCCAGCTGAAGGCAACGAGGTAATCCCCGCATCTGGAGCCAGGGCAGGCTCAGGCCCCTGACTCGGCCCAGCTGGTGTTTGTTGCAGGGGCACCTGTGCAGACTGGGACTCTTCAGGATCAGGCCCCAGACTTGGTTCAGATGATGCCTGAGGCAAAGGATCCGGTGCAGACTGAGACTCCTCTGGTTCCGAGCCCGAGTCCCAGGCCATCACAGGTGGGCAGATCCTTGCCTTCTGCCACGCCAGACCCCAAGGCACTGTAATCAATAAAGTTTGGGCAATTTTTCACTGATTTGGGGGCTCTTCTTGTTTATGGGTGCCATAAAATGTGCCCGGCACATGTGTTATTCATGGTGGCTTATGAACAATATCCATCAATTGATGGGGCGGTTTTCTCTATCTCTCCTTTCTTCATCTGTTTTCTTATCTCTGGCTTACAGATATATTTCTCAGCCGCAGGGAAGTACAGATTATTTGCTAACTCTGTTAACGATCTGAGCCTTTGGAGGGAGATTATTATATCCCCCAGTGCCTGATTTAATATAAAGCTCTTCTTACATTACTTCAATGATTTCACATCCACGGACGAACCAGGATTGAAAGTTCACACCATAATTTGTTCCCAACATAATGGAAAAAGAGTCTCTGGATCACAGGTGCATTTACAGTATTGAATGTATTCAGCCACATGTAGTCAATTCATCTGATTAAGAGTGTTGGGAAAATCCAATGCTAAGCCATCCGACAAATATTTGTTTCGTTCTCACAGAATTTTCATGCTGCCCCTGTCAATACCAGCTCAGAAAGGTTTATAGGAATAAATTGTCTTTCTTTCTTTCTTTTTAATCCAACATGGTAAGAAAGGCACTTAAAAAAACAACACCCATTGATCTTGAGACCTAGAATTACAGGTTCTATTTTGCCTCAAATTGTGCTTCAAAATGCTATTTATGCTTTCCATTTTCCACAGTACAACCATTAACAGTTTGCATTTAACATGTGTACAATGAGACACACTCCCAGGAATGTCAGGCTGCAACCTAAGGGTACAATCCTGTCCTCAACTTCTGCTGGCTGAGGGGCTATAGCAGAGGTCGGAAACCTCAGGCCTGAGGGCCAAATGTGCCTGCCCAGCCGCCCCATTTGCCCCATGAGGCAATTTCTCTAAACCACTGCCCCCTGCCGCTCACCTGGTGTCTTATGAGACTTCTAGTCTGGTGCAGGTATCAACATGACGGCAAAGGAACAATCGGGAACTTAAAGTGAGCTCCTGATCTTCCTTTGCCAGAGCGAGGTACGCTCCCACCTGATGAGCAGGGGGAACATGTCTTCTTCCGATATCCCCAAGTGGTTTGCATTGAAACTGCTGCTAAAATGGAGGTGGAAAGCTCTGTTTCAGCAGCAGGCTCAGTGCAAATTGCTTGGTGCCACAGGAAAGATGCTGACGCTGCAGTTCTCAAGTGGCTAATAGCCCTATGGCTGTCAGGTGTTTGGAAACCACCTCCTTTGGTACCTCCATTGTAATATCTTCATCTTATGCTGCAGACACACGTGGGTGGCGCTGTGGGTTAAGCCAAAGAGCTTAGGACTTACCGATCAGAAGGTTGGCGGTTCGAATCCTGGGTGACTGGGTGAGCTCCCGTTGCTCAGTCCCTGCTCCTGCCAACCTAGCACTTCGAAAGCACGTCATGTGCAAGTAGATAAATTGGGACCACTCTGGTGGGAAGGTAAACGGCGTTTCCTTGTGCTGTTCTGGTTCACCAGAAGCTGCTTAGTCATGCTGGCCACATGACCCGGAAGCTGTACGTCGGCTCCCTTGGCCAATAAAGTGAGATGAGCGCTGCAGCCCCAGAGTCGGTCACGACTGGACCTAATGGTCAGGGGCCCCTTTACCTTTACGTTGGCACAAGAGACATATTTTTAGGACCCATTCCAGTTGCGTTTTTTTTAAAATTGTGCATTTTACGTTGCTATAAAGCACCCTGGGACTTTCTGGTGAAGGGCAGGAAATAGATCTAACAAGAACAGCATCACATTGTGGCTTTATTCATACCCTCTTCCTTTTACCTCTCTAGTCGGTCAAGATTCCAGCCTCCTCCTCTTCAAATGTAATTCATAGCTTCATACCCTTTATTACTTTTTCTTTTATCCCAACCTGTCCCCAAGGAGCCAACACAGACTGATGTCTGAATTTGTACACGTCAGTTGCCTATTCAGTTCAGTGTTGAACTAAATAGGCAACTGACTTACTAAGGCTACAATCCTATACAGTTGCACCTTGGTTCTGGGAAAAACCTTGAGATTCAAACATTTTGGCTCCTGAATGCCGCAAACCCGGAAGTGAGTGTTCCGGTTTGCAAATGTTCTTTGGAAGCTGAACGTCCAACACGGCTTCCGCAGCTTCCGATTGAGTGCAGGAAGCTCCTGCAGCCAATCAGAAGCTGCGCCTTGGTTTTTGAATGTTTTTGGAAGTTGAACAGACTTCCTGAATGGATTCCGTTCAAGAACCAAGGTACAGCTGTAGCTGTATTCACATACTTGCAAGCCCCTTTGAACTCAGTAGGATCTCTTTGGGATAACGCTGTGTAAGTTTTTGTGTTTGTGTTTTTAAAAAAGCTCTCCCTCCGGTCCCTAGAAGATCTCTCTCTCTCTCTCTCTCTCTCTCTCTCTCTCTCTCTCTCTCTCTGTTTATTAAGACTTTGCATATCAAAGAAAAAGAAACAAAGAAACAAAGAAACCCAGAGCACATAAAACTACTCATACCTGCTCTACAAAGGTTCTGTGGTGGCCACAGGAGAAAAGAGATTCTATCCCAGGAACGCATAGAGATTCACCTTACCTTACCTTACCTTATCTTAGCAGAGATTTCTAAGACATTCAAAGCAGTAACTTTATGACTTGGGTTTTCTCTTTGTCAAATATCACCTTTAGGAGGGATAGATATTAAATGTCACAGAGCCGGTCTAAGTGGATGAAACTTTCAAAGTTATTAATAGACAAAGAAATTTCTATCCGGAGTCACGACTTGCTTATTAATGTCATCTCAAAGAAAGAAACTTTATTCTAGTGGGAATAATGAGTCTCTTTGGGCAGCAGTTCACATCAAGCGCATTGAACTGAAGCATATTAAAACATGTTGATTTGCTTAGGTATTGCTTGCTTCACTCAGGAATCAAATAGGATTAAATATATCCTGGCATCAAATGTAACTTCAGCTGTATTACATCAAATAGTAAAAAACCCATCACAGAAACCCGAGCAGACTTGAATAAGTTACACAGAATACATTCAAGTCAGGAACCCCAGCAAACACTGGCAGAAATAGGAGAGCCTTCACTCTCAGCTGAGATGTTCAGCAGTGCACACACTAAGGGAACAATTCTATGCATAAGAAGCTGGTGCGAAGCAAGCTGGTGTAAATTAAGATGGGGTAAATCTGTTGTTGTTTAGTCGTCTTAGTTGTGTCGACTCTCCGTGACCCTATGAACCAGAGCATGCCTTGGAGAAACTCACTTTCCTCTCAAAGCTTCTCCTTTTTTATGTCCATGGAGTTTTCTTGGCAGAATAAATCTACATCAGATTTAAGCCCTGTTCAGCAGCAGGGGCTGCTTCTCTGCCTAAGCCTGGAAGATGGAAAACCAGCCTTTGCCATAGTGTTCTACGTCAGGTTGCCAGGTCATGTGACTGAACCGAACAGACTTAGGATCCAGCCTAAGTTCCCCCTCTTTGGTTTCGCACCTGCCACACTTCTGGATTACCCCTTTTGGGGGAATTAGACCGGACTCAGCTCAGACAGATGCAGCTCAACTGGCTGAGCCAGAATGAATAAGTTATGCTGGTGTTATCTTTGGCTGAACCACGGGTGGGGAATCAGCCAGCGGATCCAGAGATCCGCTGCATCCTAAGCTGCCCATCCCAGCAGATCTTGCCATAGGATTGCCCGCTAAAGCTCAGACATCTCCGTAGCACATCTCTGTTCACAAAGCTGCCTTCAGAAGTGTAGCCTGTAATGAAGATTTGCTTTTGAAAGGTTAGATCTAATGAAGATAAACGGAATGACTTACACGAAAGGTCAGATTTGGAGGCCACTCTGCGTGATTTGCCTCGCTGACTAATCCTCACCTCGCTAGATGAGAAAATGATTGCTAACTTGGCATTCGGTTTTAATGTTAACTGTGTAATGTAGAGCACAGGTTGCGAAGGGTGCTCTCGAGTCTTGTACAGTGGTGCCTCGCAAGACGAAAAGAATCCGTTCCGCGAGTCTCTTCGTCTTGCGGTTTTTTCGTCTTGCGAAGCAAGCCCATTAGCGGTTTAGGGGATTAGCGCTATTAGCGGGCTTAGTGGATCAGCTGATAAGCGGCTTAGTGGCTTAGCGGATCAGCTGATAAGTGGCTTAGCAGCTTGGGAAAAAGGGGGGGGGGGAAGGAAAAAAAACCCGCAGGAACTCGCAAGACATTTTCGTCTTGCGAAGCAAGCCCATAGGAAATTCGTTTTGCGAAGCACCTCCAAAACGGAAAACCCTTTCGTCTAGCGGGTTTTCCGTCTTGCGAGGCATTCGTCTTGCGGGGCACCACTGTACAATTTTTGCTTTCGCAAAGAAACCACTGATTAAAGCAGGGGTGGCATTGCGGGACTTCCTCTGCAACGGGCCCCAGCCAGCATCACAAAGGGTGAGGGATGCTGGGAACTTTAGTCCAACAACTTTTGAAAGGCCACAGGTTGCCCCCCCCTCCAGCTTGGAGTAATGTCCCTTGCTGACTCGCAACGACTTTAGAAGAAAAATTGGCAGTGAAAATATTGTAAGTGAAACAGACACTATTCTAAAGCTGCATTGTTGAAACTCTTAAAAACTGCTTTACTTTGCTCTGCAACCCCCCCCCCCACCAAAACATCCCCTTCTGCTCTGAGTGCACACGCTGTAATTTATTCTCTGCAAATGCAGCCGCTAAACCTTTTGCTCTCCCTGTCATTGCCTTCTTGCTGAATCTCAAAACTACGTACGTCATCCTGCACCCATTGCTCAACAGAACTCCAAACAAAGAGACAGAAAGCTCAGTTTTATTGAATAATCTTACAAGAGGGCACAGCTGTGTGGAAGTCTGGTGTCTGACTGTCATGATGGGTCTTTGCCCTCTTCTAACTTTGCCACTACACTACAGACAGACCAAAAGGGTGATGTAACTCAGACTCTATTTTAAAGACTTGCTTTCCCTCTGCCAGGCTTAGGCTGGCTCATCCAGGAGCAGTCTCACTGTTGACCAGAGGTTTGATTTGATATACCGTATTTTTCACCCTATAGGACGCACTTTTTCCCCCTCCAAAAATGAAGGGGAAATCTGGGTGCATCCTATGGGGCAAATGCAGGCTTTCGCTGAAGCTTGGAGAGCAAGAGGGGTCGGTGCGCACCGACCCCTCTCGCTCTCCAGGCTTCAGCAAGCTATCAGCAAGCCTGGGGAGTCCGCAGGAGTTCCCGCAGGGCTCCCTAGGTGCAGATAGCAGCCTGCTGCCTGGCGCGCGGGGCGCCCTGAAGCAGAGCGCCTTGCGCTTCGGGCAGACATCGGGCAGCGCCACAAGCTTGGGGGACAGCGGGGAGGCGCAGCGCCACCATCCTGCTGTTCCCCGACCTGGTTTGGATTCCCCGACCTGGTTTTGGGGGGTAAATAAAGGAAAACATTTTTTCCTTTATTTCCCCCCCAAAAAACTAGGTGCGTCCTATGGGCCGGTGCGTCCTATGGGACGAAAAATACGGTAAATTTATGCTTGCCTCATATACATCGGTTTGCTGTACAACAGTTTTTTTGAGTATTGCATTGCTCCCTTATAATACGCAGTTGGCTGACTGTTGTAACTGGTGGGTTGACTCTCATATATATGGGGTAGCCCCATGGCTGTCATAATGTCCGTAGCTGTTTGAGACAGCATGAATGCTGAAACTCCCTAGCTTCCAAAGCCTGGGGGAAGTCTAAGACCACCACCATCAGTCTAGCCAGGGAGACAACTTTGGACGAGGTAGCTTTAGGGGCAAGGATGCCTGAGCCAGGAGGTGGCACAGACCATTTTTTAAAGACCAGTTTTCATGGGTGGTTGAACTCAAAGGGCACTTTTATGCCATGCAAAGAGGCACTTTTAATGCTATTCTTGATATACACATTTATTTTGGGAACAAAGTATGATGCATGCACCTTCATATTAAACAAGAATTGTTGTTTCAAGAAACTGATCACTGCTCGAAAAACAGCCAGAATTCTGCAATAATGTTAAACATAAAATCCCACTGGTATAAATATCTCATAAACTTGTACATTAAGGATAGTTTACTCACATCTTACGAGGGCCTGTGAATTCAGCAACTGAGATAATAATAATAATAATAATAATAATAATAATAATAATAATAAAGATGTGTGTTTATTCCCTCTCCTGCAGCCAATTGGCTTTTCTGTTGACTCTAGCATGGGCACAGAAAATATCGGCATGAACTTTAGGACTTGTAATTCTTAAAAGACCATATCTCATAGGGAGACGCCACTCTGCCTCTCAAACAAGAAGTCTTCAATGAAGAAATACCATTGCTTCATGCCAGCCTTCACCAACTTGTTGCTCTCCAGATGTTTCAGCCCCAGCCAGCACAGATGGGATGGTTGGGAACTGTAGACCAAATCAATTGGAGGGCAACAGGCTAGCAACAGCTATTCCATGTTGATTGAGGGGGCCCAACAGCCTGAGGTTGCACACGCAATGTGACAAGGAGCCAGGGGGTGGAGCCAAACATCTTCTAAACATACAGTGGTACCTTGGATTACAAACGCTTTGAGTTACAAACACTTCAGGTTACAGACTCCGCTAACTCAGAAATAGTACCTCGGGTTAAGAACTTTACTTCAGGATGAGAACAGAAATTGCGCGGTGGCAGCGGGGCAGCAGTGGGAGGCCCCATTAGTTAAAGTGGTACCTTAGGTTAAGAACCGTTTCAGGTTGAGAACAGACTTCCGGAACGAATTAAGTTCATAATCAGAGGTACCACTGTATATTGATGGGCTCCCGAAACTGCCTCAGCCCCTAGTAATTTGCATGTATGGTTCCATGTAGATTAACTGGTTCCATGAAGATTAACTTGCAGGTTTTAAAAAGTATAAGTCAAAAAACTTAGAGTGTGCAACTGTCAGGAAAAACTCAGAGAAAAGCGGATTTCAGATTTGGGTGTTATTTAACTTACACTATTAAAAAACTGTAAATTAATCTTTTTTAACTAGTAAAAGTCAAACACTTAAGAGCTGGAGAAAAAACAATGAAAGTTAAAAATTAGCCATTTCTTTAGCCTTTTAACTAGTTTGTGTCCATGACTGCTCGCCACTGATACTATATGTGGAACATAAGGAGGACACATAATCCATTTTTTAAATAAAAGGTTTGCAGTGCTCTGTGAGTAAATAACTCTGGTATGATTACCTTTATCAAGCACAATCCTCTGTTGTGGCATGAAATGAAAGTAACCTTTCCAAGCAACTACCTAATCATATGTTGTTACTTACAAAAGGAACACAGAAAATATCACCTAAGCTCCTAGTGATATTTTCAAATTATACCCCCTCTCTCTCCCTGTATAGCGTAAAGGTCAGGGCTGGTAGTAAAGGTAAAGGATCCCTGGACAGTTAAGTCCAGTCGAATTTGACTATGGGGTGCAGCGCTCATCTCCACTTTCAGGCCAAGGGCGTTTGTCCACAGACAGCTTTCTGGGTCATGTGGCCAGCATGACTAAATCACTTCTGGTGCAACGGGACACCATGATGGCAGCCAGAGCACATGGAAATGCCATTTATCTTCCTGCCGCAGTGATACCTGTTTATCTACTTGCACTGGTGTGCTTTCAAACTCCAAGGTTGGCAGGAGCTGGGACAGAGCAATGGGAGCTCACCCCGTTGCACGGATTCAAACCGCCGACCTTACAACAGGTAAGTCCAAGGGGCTCGGTGTTTTAGACCACAGCACCACCTGCTCCCTACTCAGGGCTGGTAACCACATAGCACAAGGCAAAGGGAAAGTGAGCAGGATCCACATTTGCATTACTGGGTGCTGTGGTTTGACCCCATGTTTGATTGCTCATTTTCTACACATCTTTCTGCCATTGACTACTGATTTTTTAAAACTTTTTAAGAATTAAGTTTTGGTTTCCAAACTTTTCCCATAGAACAGCTGGGAATTGGGGTTGACATTCCCTTCAACGAGTAAAAAAACCAAAGTAAAAAACCTTCCTTCTTAGAGAAAGAAACCTAAACTCCACAGTGGAAATAAAGAACTAAAATGTAGAAGTGCCATAGCTGAATATAGCACAAGTAAATCAAAAAGCTTTGGATTCCAAGAGCTTTGGATGGTATCCAACTTGTTTTGCATCAGTAGCATCCATCGGTGGTTTGAGGCAGGAAAACCAGTTGTTGTTGCCTCCTCAGATAGGAACACACCCACCCACTCGAGAGGAGCATGATTTGCAATCCTGGCTTTTCCACAAAGCGAGTGAGTCTCACGAGTGAGCGCATCATGACTCATCTTCAAAAGCTTGCTGGGCAGGGCTTGGAGACTGTAGGGACATCTTCATTGCTTCTGTCCAGTTGCGAACATCTCGCTTGATTCCTGAACTCCTGAATCATGACTCCTCAACTCAGTGGCTGTTGCCAAGCTTGTGCTGTTTCTCGATGAAATGAAGATCTCTTTCTTGCTTGTACAGTGGTACCTCGGGTTAAGTACTTAATTCATTCCGGAGGTCCGTTCTTAACCTGAAACTGTTCTTAACCTGAAGCACCACTTTAGCTAATGGGGCCTCCTGCTGCTGTCGTGCTGCCAGAGCATGATTTCTGTTCTTATCCTGAAGCAAAGTTCTTAACCTGAAGCACTATTTCTGGGTTATCGGAGTCTGTAACCTGAAGCGTATGTAACCTGAAGCGTATGTAACCCGAGGTACCACTGTACATAAGAGCCGGTCTGTATATGTTGGGTGTGAGGCAGAACAAACAGAGGGACACCAACTTTGTTGCCTTGAGCTTCAATCAGAAAATGTAACTAAGCATTCACAGAACCATGAACTTTGTCCATCTAAGATGTAAATCTTGTTAGGCTTGTGTGCAATTATTGAACTTCAAATCTCTCAGGATGAAGTTAGAGGCCTAAGCAAATTTTCCCCATGTTTTTGGGTTTGTTTGTTTTGTTGTTGCCTGATCTTGGCTCAAATGGTAACTTTACGGGAAATCTTCTGATAATACTCATTGCCCTGTGGCTAGTAGCTGTTGGATGGAGTGCTTCATTGTTTAGGATGCTCATTGAATTAAAAAGAAATAGCAGCAAAACAGTGTGCTTGTGCAGTAGTATAAATTAATCACACCGGGGCTCTTTGGAAATCAAAGATTGAGGAATTGAATTATGTGCAGCAAACGGTCTGATTCAAGCCTGTCTTTTTCATGAGGGCAACTTAATTAAACTTGGAATTTTCCATACAGAGTCATGAAATGAAAGCAGCAGAAAGGAAAAACACCTCTGACGCATCCACCATGAGCTATGTTTCTCTGCACAAATAGTTGTACTTCGGGTATGCTAAGACCGCAGCTGGTGTTAGTCACTCTTCAAGACCACAATAGAGTTTTGGTAGACCCTATTCCGGCAGTTCATTTTCCTCCAGTGAGTGGGCAGGACAAAACAAAACAGTGCACTAGTGTTAGCTGCTGAAATTATGACTCCTGAGTGTAACATTCACAGCTGCAAACTTTAGGAAGGAGCTGCAGTACGGAACTATGGAGCGGTACTATTTATAACTCCTTGGCAATGTTCACATAACAAAATGGCACTGCTCTGGGCTTCTTTCGCTTAGAGAATGTCACAGAGAACCGTTATTCTCACTGCAACAAATCACAGAACACTTTGGCTCCCTCTTTGAGTTGCATATCACTACACAGCGGAAAGCATGTGTGGGTATATCGGCAAAAGAGATGAGGTTGTGGAGAGTGTATTGTCTTTTTCAGGTCTTATGAGAACTGGGCTTAAATAAGTCATGTAAGGGTTGTGGGTTTTGGCAGGCACTGCCCCTGCCTGCCAGTGTCCCTGTTGGTTCCACTTCCAGTCTTACCTTTGATTGGCAAAGTCTTCCGTATTTTTAAGAGAGCATTTTGCTGTCTCCAGTTTGTTTGTTTATTAGATTTATACACCGCCCTTCATTGTAAGATCTTAGGAAGGTTCACAGAATAAAACAGAGGATAAAAACAAGTAAGCAAGTAAACCAAGACAACAAAACAATAACCCCCGCCTTCCCACAGAAGCATTAAAAAAAGCTGTAGAATATTAATCAGCCAAAGGTCTGGTTGAAGAGGAATGTTTTCATCTGGTACCTAAACGAAGGTGCTAGGCGAACCACCCTGGACAGAGAATTCCACAAATGGGGAGCCACTATAGAGAAGGCCATGTTGCCACCATCCGGACCTCACATGGAGGAAGCACACAATGAAGAACCTCTGATGATTGCAGAGTCCGGGATGGTTTATACGGGGAGAGGCAGTTCTTCAGGTATTGCGATCCCGAGCCATTTAAGGCTTTATAGGTGAAAACCAACCCTCTAAATTCAGCCCAGAAGCTAATTGGCAGCCAGTGCAGTCGGACCAGGAATGGTGTAATGTGCTCAAACCATCTTGTCGCAGAGGGCTTAGGAAAATTGCAACTCCACTCTCCTTTCAAAACTGCTCATCCAGCTTCTCTTTAAAGGTAAAGGGACCCCTGATGGTTAAGTCCAGTTGTGGATGACTCTGGGGTTGCGGCGCTCATCTCGCTTTACTGACCGAGGGAGTCGACGTTTGTCCGCAGACAGTTTTTCCATATCATGTGGCCAGCATGACTAAGCTGCTTCTGGCGAACCAGAACAGTGCACAGAAATGCTGTTTACCTTCCTGCCAGATTGGTACCTATTTATCTACTTGCACTTTGATGTGCTTTCGAACTGCTAGGTTGTTAGGAGCTGGGACCAAGCAATGGGAGCTCACCCTGTTGTGGGGATTTGAACCACTGACCTTCTGATCAGCAAGCCCTAGGCTCTATGGTTTAGACCACAGTGCCACCCATGTCCTTTCAACTTCTCTTTGTCCGAAGCCTAATGCTTGTGTACGCACATGCATGCACACACATACATTTCGAAACTCTTTGTGGAGTTCACTGCTTATCAGAGTTCATTGCTCATCAAAGATCTGGAGCAGTTACATAAAATTGCCTTCCCAATTCCATGTGATGATACATTATCATGATGATATTTGAAATGACTGTTCCTAAGAACAGAACAGTGAGCAGCAGCTTACCTGCTCCTCCTTTCCACCAGATATACAATTT